CCCAGTCTTCCGAAGGACGCATCGAATCCTTTGGCAAAATGCCAGTCCACGATGGATGTAAAAATCTTGGTCATGGTGTTGTCATCAAACGAGTCAATTGATATGATATTGAGATGACGTGTGAACCGGCCTGAGATATCATTACGGCCCCCACCTGGAGGACCCATGGCAGAAACGAATAACTGGAAATAGAAGAAATCACAATCAAATATAATAAACTGTCTTCACCAAGACACGAAAGGGAATTCATAGAGTATTTATTGTGATGCAGTAGAACCTTGATGTAACGAACTTCTAGATAACGAAGTCCTCGATATAACGGACCATATTCTCCGCCCCAGTAATAGTGAAATATATAGAAAAACCCTCGATATAACGAAACCACGTTATAGCGAACATATTTTTCCAGTCCTTTGCCCATTCGTTGAATCAAGGTTCCACTGTATGTAGTAGGCGACAAAAGAGATGCGAGTCCTCTGAGTTAGTTACAATTAAGGCAATGACACATTTTATACTTCAAAAGCTACCCTGCAGCACAAGCAAATCTTACAGAAACTCCTTACTAAAGCCGTGACTTGGCCAGAGGACCTCTAAAGAGCAATCATCGATTAAGTTGCATAAAACCCAAACTCATTAGTTACACCAGCCAATCTCAACAAATGCGAACGGTTTAAACCATCCAAAATCCATAGGAAATACAAGAGCAGCGTCTACGTTCTGAATGCGTAGGTCACTAGTTAGGTGGGAGAAAACGTTTATATATCGGTAAAAATGTGCCTACCATATCCATGAGCTCCAGCTTGGATGTATCCTTCCGATCATACCAGTGAGAATGATCAATCCACTAAAAAGAACATTTGATAAATTACTTCAATAAATAATCGACGCAAATAACAGCTAAAGTAAATACAAAGTTTTCACAACAACTGTCCCATGAAGAGCTTTGCACCAAACGTTTGAAAGTGAACCGTGTGTTCCGCAAACTGTGAAAATGCGTAAAAAATGCACATCACAATAATGAGATTTAGCTAATGTGGGTGGAAAAATAATCAAGTAAAATTCCAATCTGGCTTTGAGTATAGCTTTTTCGTCTCACCTGTCTCAGCAATTCAATTGGAGGTTGGGCACCATACTTTTCCTTAGAAGGCATATTGAGATCGTCCACAAACACAACACACCTCTTGCCAGGAGGGGGTCCGTATACTCCTTTGCGACGCCTGTTATAGAAGCCATTACGCGTGAGAATGATCGGTAAATTTTAAAATTATCGGTAAAGATACTAACAAAAAAGTTGAGGTTGTCATCATAAGTGCACAAAAGAAATGTTCAGATTACCTGTCCAACTTAGCCATGATGATGTCTTGAGTCTGACCAGCACTGGTGCGAGCTGAAAAGTTTATATTGATTGGAAGATACCTTAAAGAAAAGGAATACAAAGAAAAGCGGTTTAATACACACCAAAGGAAGCAATCGACAATTATAATCGTAGCTCTGGGAACAAAAATCAAGTCGTTATTACCCTTATTTGCTCTGTCTGCTGATTGCACAATTTAATTCACTTGATATTGGCAGGGGACTTGCCTTATTGGAAATAAAACGTATCGAGTAAAATAATCAACCAAATAGAGGCGACTCCCCAGAAAAGCGTCGCATACATGTTCTGAAATTGGGGCAATAAGCCATAGCTATCAACTCTTATTGGTTAAAAAATGCGGCAAGGTTTTAAACCAGAATATAGTGTGGCAACATAAAACGAGAGATGATAACTTTAAAATAATAATTATTTTAATACATATGATCGATTACAATTGTTCAAAAAGATCGTACTTCTCTTTCGGCATTCCAATGATGTAGTTGTTGGTGATGGCTGACTTTCCTGTTCCAGTTGGACCGATAAACAGTAATGGCTTGTTGTGAGTTAGAAATGCTTCCAAGAAAAACATCTGACGCGCAGTTTCATCTGTCGGAATCATCAGTTCGCTGACCTGTCAAACAAAAATTGAAATCGTCAAGTTAACAATACCCATNAAGTTTATGTTGATCGGAAGATACCTAAAAAAAAGAAATACAAAAAAAAAGCGGTTTAATACACACCAAAGGAAGCAACAGACAACTTTATATAATCGCAGCTCTGGGAACAAAAATCAAGTCATTATTGCCCTTATTTGCTTTGTCTGCTGATTGCACAATTTACTTCACCTGATATTAGCAGGGGACTTACCTCATTGGAAACAAAACGTATCGAGTAAAATAATCAACCAAATAGAGGCGACTTCCCAGAAAAGCGTCGCATACATGTTCTGAAATTGGGGCAATAAGCCATAGGTATCAACTCTTATTGGTTAAAAAATGCGGCAAGGTTTTAAACCAGAATATAGTGTGGCTACATAAAACGAGACTTGACGATCACTTTAAAATAACCATTTTAATACATACGATCGATTACAATTGTTTAAAAAGATCGTACTTCTCTTTCGGCATTCCAATGATGTAGTTGTTAGTGATGGCTGACTTTCCTGTTCCAGTTGGACCGATGAACAGTAATGGCTTGTTGTGAGTTAGAAATGCTTCCAAGAAAAACATCTGACGCGCAGTTTCATCTGTCGGAATCATCAGTTCGCTGACCTGTCAAACAAAAATTGAAATCGTCAAGTTAACAATACCCATTTTAAGGCTTGATTGTCGAGTCGATAGTTTATCAGCTTTTCCAGTTGACGGTAGGTTATTAGACTTGCCGCAAGTATATCTCACGCGTTTCACAGCAGAAATACAAGCGAAGCGACCCTTCCAGGCTGCGAAGATGACATAAGCAAGCGATGAGGTCCTGAGAGGTCAAATTTCAGTGCTAAGAGGTTTGGTCCGACGTTTAGTCAACTTTCAGTGCTTAGAGGCTTAGGACCAGAACGACCAGAAGTGAAGCACGATTTTTCAGTGTCGTAGTAATTACTCATGGCCGATCATAAAATGCGAGGAATATCTGATGAACCAATCAAAGCTCTGAGCGATAGATATAGCCAGCTGGAAGCGCGGGAAAACCCAAGGAGGCAAGTGTTTGCATTCGTTAGGGTCTTTCTTCTGATTGGTCCAGAGGGTTGCGCAAGATTTTAAGACATCATAACGTTTATCAAAGCCAAACATGGCAATCGCAAATTACTCTCCTCATTCGTTAAAACCTATAGTAAAATTTTCATACGTCGGAAGGTGATCGCAGCCTGTCCTCAACGAGACCATCAGCAAGGAAATTTAACTATTAGCATAAGATTACTCAATTGGCCTTTTTCTTTTTTCTAGACAAGGTATCTAGCAAACCATCACAAGAACTTTCTTTCCTAAAACAGAAAAACAAAAGGTGAAAACGCGCGTTACCTTGGCGTCTTTGGGGATGACGCTCTTAGCTTTGTCCACTCTCTCAATCCAGTTGTTCCATGAACCGCTGGCTTGTTTTACAAAATAGAAGTCATACACAGTACCACGGTCGGGAAACACGTTTTGCTGCAGGACGTAAAAAGCAGTTAAATTTCATTGACGTTGAAAATGTCAATAACAAAAAATAACAAATTTTATTAGGTGAAAATATGCTGTCGATAGCTGTCGATTAATGGACCAAAAAACTTCAAACAAGCTCGAATTCTGCTGCTTTCTGAATGGTTTGCAATATCCATGGCTGTTTAAACTATTATTCAATTTTAAGGACATGTTTTACAAAATACTAAGTAAGCAAATTAAAACTATGGGTTTAGGAATTTAACAACATTTCTTTACCTTGGTCATCTTAATGTTGTTGGGCTTAGGGTGATCTTTATCTGTTCCGCTGATCAGCAATCTAAAAAACGCATCAAACTTCTTGCGACTGTCACCGTTAATGGTACCACCAATGGACCACACCATGGCAAAGATAAACAAGCCTTGAAGCCAGTTTGTGATCTGAAATCGGAAGGTTATTAAATGGTAAAGCACAATAAAACTCTCCCACAGCGTTATGTGCAGACGTAATGGTCAGTCTGGTCTGTAGATTCGGTTTCAAGCCATTACGTTGTTTCCTTGGACAAAAAACTTTGGTCCACGTTGTTTCTCTACCAACTAAGTGTATAAGTCAAGTCCCGCAACATACTCCTGAGAGTACCCCTGACATAGACTAGTATCCCTTCCGGGGAGGTGGTAATTCCCCTTAGTACTTCATGCCATATAAAAACGCACTCAGTGCAAGAGCTTGGGCCGCATGGGTTCGTTAACAAGTTTCTTTATCTGGACAAAGCAAGCAAGCACTCCACGTTAGGCGAGTGGTTCATCGAGTAACAATGCACTCGGTCACCCTTACTATTCCTAAATAAGTACAATGGATCCAACATCAATCTGACTGAAACCCAAAGTTTAATCTTACAGTATAAACGGCCGCATCTTGCAGGCGAAGATAACCGAAACTCGTCAAATAACACAGCATAACGTACAATATGAAAGACTTGAGGGGTGCAATTCTGAATTTGCTTCAAGCAAGACAAGTACATCACGTGATGATGAAGTATACATACTTGTGAGCTAGACATCCTGTCAGCTCCTTCAGCATGCTCCTGCGCAGCTATCTCGTCCAACAGACACGAGTACAAATTCATAAAAGAATTCACCAGGTGCATATCAGATGTTTGGATGAAAAATTTGCACTCATGGCGGAGAAAAGCTGATAATTAATGTAAAAGAAAATCGGTTAAAGCATCAACATCAGACGACATTGAAACACTCTTAACATTTGACTGAAAGCGCGGGGAAACGATGGAGGAAACCTTGCTCTGTGATTTATGCTACACGAGCCGGCATGATGGAGATATGTTATCCGCTCAGGATCACCTGCTTTGCTTTCGCACGACAGGGCTTTTTAGGCCACATAATGCTTCGCTTTCTCGGTCCATACAAACTCTTGGTAATATACACCTTCACCCAAAAATTATTTTCCTAAGCGCATTCATAATTCATCGCATGGTCATTAACAAGATACAAGTGTGTAAACCTTTAAGTCATACATAGAGTGAATAAAATTGTCACAAAAATACAACATCACACTTCATAGTTGCTCTAGCTATAACTTACACAAACACGGTTGCATGAGCCACATAAACAGCGCCCGGATAGTCTCCAAATGCTCAGCGGTCAGACTCTTGGGAAGTATGTTCATGTAAGACTCCATCAAAGGTTCCCATCCAAGCTAATAAGAGAACAGGAAGAAAATACTCAAATGGGGAAAAGGTTTATTTTTCAAAGAAACTAAGGTGTTGCTTTGATGGGAAGCACAACATGAAAATTATTTGGTTTTGTGTTGTGTTTGAGTTGAAAGATGAAGGACGTGAACAAACGTAAGACGATGAGTATAACTTGACTGTTAAGAATGAAAAACCTTCGCTGCCAAGGCGACATGTCTCACCTGGTGAGGCTCCAGATAGATCATACCACATCGACTAACAGTGGCAGGAGAAGCTTGTTCCAGATCAGCCGGCTCAAAGATTAAACTCTGCCTGTTGTTCATCTGTATGATTTCACCACTCATCAGACACAACTGACGAAAAAAAAGAAGAAAAAAAAACAAAGTTTAAGGTTAACACGATAACTTAAGTTACTTTTTTATTATTATCATGTACTTATCAGTTTACAATAAAGTGAGGAATAGTTGACTAAGGGCAACAAAAGAAAAGCGGAGATGACCACTACTTGGAAAAGTTATTTCAAGGGAGTGGATCAATTATTTTTGCTAAGAGCCACGAGTTTTTTTTTTCGCACTGCTTTGGTGAAAAGACCTGTTGTCAAGTCAACTGCACGATTCTAGCAAACAAAAACAACTACTTCTTGAGTGGGCAATTATTCTTGGAATCTTCAAGCTTACTCTGGGAGTAAGTCGTTTTTAATTCTAGTTGTTTGTTCTAAAGCTACTTTAAGGGCACCAACCCAACTACCTTTTTGTTGTCGTCAAGCACAGTATTCATGTTTTCAATCCAAACTGCATCAACAGGTCCATCAAAGATCAGCCATTTTCTGTCCTCTGTAGTCGATGACGCATGCTCTCTAAAGGAGTTGGCTAGCACACCGTCCGACCACTCATGGGAGACTGGATCGAAGCAGCCATAGAGTTCACCCATACTAATTGACTTGGGGTTGATGATCTTATAAATCACCTAGAAAAATTTACAGAAGAAAATCAAAACGAATTTTCGTGTTAGCTCTAGAGGACTAAACCTGAAAGACACGTGACACAAACAAATCAAGCAAAGCAAAGCTGGATTAATTAGTTTGATTGGTTTAGAAAAAGGAGGGAAAGCACGCTGCTTTTGGTTGGTTTAGCAAAAGCAACAAGCACCAAGCAAAGAAACGGATCGCGAGCGACTATTCTCTTCATTGTCACTCGCTTGTCAGCTTTCGGATAAGACAATCGATGAAGGCATTGCATTGCATATCCACACTGATATTGCTGGAATGAGAACGATCTAGCTGCTACCTGTGAACAGTTCCAAATGCTCTCTACATACTACTTGTTGGATAGTTTAGTTATCAACGACGGTCACTAAAATGCATAACTATTTCAACTCAATAAAACACACGAAAACAGGTTTCCCACTGATAAAAGTTTAAGGGTCTAACTACATAGAGAACGACTGCTTAAAGCCTCTATTCTACCGTGTGTCGCTAGTTCAAGAATGTAGAACTAGCGTACTCCTCTTAGTTTTACCACGCTGAGACATCTAGGATATCAGGGAAATTACAGATTTTAAGATAAATTCGACGGAAAAATAAGGGGCGCAAAATGTCTTACAGTAAAGTGTCTCTGATTACAAAATGCTTACCCTTTGATGGGGGTATCCTCCTTTATGAAGATCAGACATTGAATCCGCAAGAACCTAAACAAAACCAACAACGCAAAATTCATATCAGAGAACAGGCGCTTGCTTATAAAAAGCCTTTCCGAATGTTCATCACACCATAAAGAAAACATTCAAATTTACCTTGAATGCCATTGTTTTTCCACCCAGTGGGTCACCAACAATCATGAAGCCATGTCTGACAATCATCATCTCATAAACCTACGGAAAAAGATTAAAGGCGACCCATCGACTACTTAGAATTTAACCCTAAGGGTTGATTGCCACTGTCGCGTATTTTTTCCGTGCGAACGGACGTAAAATTTACGTGCGTAAATGAAATAGAGGCATTGTATGAAAGGTTACGCGTACAAGTAAAAGTTGATCGAGGTTCAACTTTTACGTTTACGCATGACCTTCTACACAATGCCTCTATTTTATTTACGCACCTAAAAATTACGCGACAGAGAAAATCCACCTTTATTTAAAGCTTACCAAAAAGTTAAGAATAATATTTTCGGCGTCCAGGAATTGTCTGTCTAATATGCGATGTTCAATGGATGACAAGTGAGAACATACCTGAATGATCTTCTTGAGGAACCACTTTGTGGACTGTAGGTTGCGTATCTTGCAGTTTTCTCTAAGAGCATCCATCAGAACTCCGTAATCAGGGCTCGGCCAGCTGGTGCCAGGAAACAAGTCCGAGATGATGCCTTCGAACAGAGGAACATCCTGAAAATTATAAAGCAAAAATAGAATAAACATCCCATGCTAAGGACTATGAAGGAAGCAAGGGTGGCTCAACGTTAAGATGACCCGCCTTCCGCGACTGGGGTCTGACTCGACTTGGTGTTCATATGTGGGTTAAGTTTGCTGTTTGTTTTCAACCACGTTTGAGTGTTTTTTTTTTCCGTACACTACGGTTTTCTCCTTACCTAAAAACGGCTTTTATTTTATTTGCAACCGATCTGGAATGAACGAACACTTGGTCAACGAGTTTCTACGGTCTGTTAGGTGTCTCAAGGGAATCAAATTACTTTTATACTGACATTTATAGTTCAATAAAGGACCTGCATGGCGACGGGGGGGAGGGTTATGGCAAAGTGAGGGGGTGACCTTGGTGTAAATGTTAGGATTGTAAGGGTGCTTACAACTAAATGACCACCATTAGAATGATTGTTATACCTTTCCAGGTACCGTGAAGAATCATAAGGAAATGACTCGAGGCTAGCCTGCGAGCAAGCTAATAAATAATAGAAAGACAAAAAAGCACAGTTACCTGTGCCAAGAATTTGGCGAGGTTCACTTCGAGCACAGCTCTTAGCATAAGCTCAGCTTCATCGTCGTCCGGATAGCGAAGCTTGAGATTCCCTGCGGCGGTTAACACAGACTTGACCGCTCTCATGCCATAGTCATAATGGGACTGGGAAGAGAGCTGTTCCGAACACAACTGATATGTTGCAACAATCTTTTGTGCCAAACTATTTTAAAACAAACAAACAGACGCCAAGTCACATGTACAGTACGTGCACTATGGTTCTAGGAGAAGTAAACAGAGTTTACAAGTTTAATTTATTATCAAATGCGTACACTACGCCAACATATATCCATTTTAACCAGCAGAGGACTAACATCTTGTTAAGAGAATAATGGAATTACAGAGTAAAAGAAAAGATTACCTTCTAGCATCTAAGAATCCCATGGAATACAGAGAGATCTCACTGATTAAGGCGTAATCAGGGACCATCATGGCCACAGTGCGGAAGAGAACCTACATTGAAAAACAAACGATTCAACACAATTATTACGTTATGGCTTCCATCTATGCACTGGGTTTGGAGCATGCGCGCAAAAGGACAGAAGAAAGATGCGCAAAGTAATACAGTGGGATCTCTACTAACTCAGTGCTTATTCTTTACAACAGCTACTTTTGTTTTTCCCGCCGGATGCACTCACTCTTAGTGTAACCTCTTTACCATGGCTTCCTCCCTACAGCGGACACAAGATTGATCCACAAGCTGGCCCTTGTGCAAAGGTTCGACCGTACTAAGCAATCAAGTTCCGAATGACTGGGTTATATACACTGCAAGCGCGCGTGAAACTCGGTCGATGTTTTTTAATTCCTTTTCGTATCCTGTCTGCTGCAGCACTGACATCTTCAAAGCCGACCAAGATGGGTTCGTCTGATTCGCCGGTCACTGGGTTTCATAAAAGTGCCAACTTGTTTACTAACCCAGAAACCCACTCGAACGAAGGTCAAGGTGACAAAGACTCCTTTCGCTCTTTATCTGTCATGGTGCTATACTAGAATTGTACTATGATACTGTTTTGATGACGATATCGTTTCTTTGATGACTATACCAAGGTTGCGTAGAAAACTGGGTCAAAATTTTCCCAGTCCCACAGTGCAGTTCGACACGACAACGGCGGCGTCCATGAAAACCTCGCTGAAAATTCAGATAGACTCCGCATCCTTTCCAACCATTTCGCGATTATCCCAAGTCGCACAGTTACTTAAAAGAAGGGAATTTATGTTGGAGCTGAAGAGAGGGGGCCGCGCCCAAGTTCAGACAGAGATGCTAGAATTTATCGCCTTGCCGTTCCCGCCCTCAAAAAAACTTAAAATGTTGTCATTTCACCTCGTAGTCGTACAGGGACGGCAAAAAAATGTACAAACAATCGTGATGCACGTGCAGAGTTGTTGTTTTGTTAACTAAACCTATTGCTTTTTGAAGTTGCCATTGCCGTCGTAGTTTCGTAAGGTCCTTAATGGCCGCGTCTCAAAGACGCGAACTTGCACGAGTGACGATGAACTCGATCTGACAAAGTATCATACCTTAAGGTTATCCGGTAGCTCCTGTCGTCCTGCATAACCAGGATTCATGGTGATAAACATTGTGCAAGTTGGATTGAGAACAAGTTCTGTTCCTTCAAAAATGAACTTTTGCTTCCTGTCCGCGATGGCCTTCTGAATCGTGTGAATCTGCTGCGCTACTACGCTCAGTACCTGTCAAAATAACGTGAAATGAAGGTCTTGATCGATCGCCTTGTCCAAAATAATATCAATTCAAAAGGTATTTAATCACGTTGAAACTTCAGCATCAAAGAAACCAAGCAGTGGATAAAAAGTCTTAGCTTCGCTTAATGAAGATGAATAAATTCAAAATACAAGTTTCAGTGGGCTTGAAAATGTCTAGGTGCGAAAAAAGGAATTGCGGTCGTTTCGTCTACGGTCTGTTTGCCTACGACTAGAGTCGATTCGCCTACGTCTAATATGTCAGTTCGCCTACATCTTAAAATCCTTTCGCGTACTATGACAATCATTACAACAATTTTAAAACAATTTTAACAAAATATGATTCACACATTCTGCAGTTCGTAAACGACCGGTTTCCGATAATCAAGTTTTTTCAACATTCCAACTATTGTGTTGCTTCTCTAGACAATGACAATGTGTTGCTTCTCTAGACAATGGCATCGAGGTTGGAATGTATTGATTGACTCTGTTGTATGTTTATCTTTTTAGCTTCAACATATGAATCGTAGGCGAACTGACATATTGCACGTAGGCGAATCGACTCTAGACGTACGCGAAACGACCGAAAAATGGCATGATATGTTGACTTGATATCACTAACCTCTAGCTCAATCCTGTTGAACTCATCAAAACAGGCCCAGCAACCGGCTTGAGCTAGTCCTTTGAAGAACTTTCCCATTGCCTTGTAGTCCAGTCCATCCGAGCAGTTAAACACAACGCACTGCATATAATGAGTAAAAAGCAGTTATGAAATCAAATCGTATATTAATCACACTACAAAAGTTTTTTTCTTTAGGTCAAATCTATATCCAAGCGTTTGTTCAATGTTCTTAACAACGTTATCCAAGAAGACAGCAACTCCAGGTGTGCACAGCAGTAAGAAAAGCCCAGATTAGGTTCGTTCTTCTCCGGGAATTTCGCGTTTATGAAAAACTGAATTCACCACCATCGAGAAACTTCAAGTTTTCTGACTTAAACACTAGTAAGTAACAAACCTTCACATAGGAAAAAGACAACCAAAAATAAAAATTGACTCATTTAATTTACTAAGGAAAGCTCAGTCTGAGAAAGTGAGCTCTACATTTTCAAGTAAAACAAACCTGTTTAGCGACAGCCTTGGCCAGATCTTTAGAGGTCTCAGTTTTTCCTGTTCCAGCTGGTCCTTCAGGGGCTCCACCCAGATTTAGTTTAATAGCACCCATTAAAGTTCTGCATAAAAAAGAAGATTATTGTAACCTTAACCTTGCACTATACGCCCGTCATTATTTTACAAGACCTCAGGGCTCAAAATAAGTACTACGTCACACGTTGCAGCGTATGTCAAGCGCTCATTTTTATGATCACTCTATATTTAATCACACTAAACTGCCTTTTTCGTTTGTGGATTTAAACTGCAACAATTAAGGCACCACTCACTGAAAACTTATCTTAACAATGAGCAGTGTTGTAAAAGGATCGAAATTGTGCAAATTTTATCATTTTTAGTTGAGCAGGTTAGCAATACAGGCATGGAAAGTTCCCTAGCACCAAAAAAAAAATACAATTTAGTCTTGCAGTCTTTGACATTCCATTCAATTTTCGTGCTTTTCGTGAACTAACCTGTAACATCTGTCAGTGAGAGGTGTAATGACAAGTCGCCCGCTGTTACCCAGGTACTCATATCCATAGTCAATACTGGTGGTAATCATTCGCACAATTGTCCTTTTGTCTTCAAAGTAATATCTGAGCTGTGACAGCCACTGAAAATCATTTGTATTGTTTACACCATCCTGGCACATTTTTGCAACGACATCACGAGCTGGAAATAAGAAAAACGCCTGCTTACTGAAGTGTCAAAAGGCTGTCTTCATCCTCCTCTCACAAGACATTTCACTTTTCTTATATGAAATTTCTTGATGAAATGTTCATAAAAGTCAAAGTGTCTTCAATTTTTAAGGAAAAAAAACAATTCAGGATAGAATGAGTAGGATTCGAACTCAGAGCATCCGATCTGGAGTGCATCACTCTAACCCCTACACCACCGCGGATTTGGTGACGAATACCAGTTTGATTGAAATATATAACCCTTACCCTAACCCTAACCCTAACCCTAACCCTAACCCTACTTTGTGTACGAATCATTAATGTGTCAACGTCAGTTTGGCGGATGGAATTAAGTGTAGGCCCTCCAACCCTTTTTCTCTTCCCCTCGTACCACGCGCACTCACTATTCCTTATTTTTTTAGTTTTAGTGGAATACCCAACGGGAGCCTCTGCGGGGTGGGGGCAAGAGGTCAAAAGGCACTTTTTCTTTTCAAAGACATAGCTAAGAAAATGGCACGACATGAATTGACCAACATCGAAAGACAAGAGAATTGAACATTTCAGTTTTCACAAACCAACAAGTACATCATATACGTAGTCTCCGCAGTGAAGTTGAACCAGCTGTAATCGAAGCTAACGGTGACAATGTCATTTAAGTGTTGCATGAACATGTACATTACCATGGACATCAATCACAGTCAATGCACCAAGCGTGATTCTGATACCACGATCTAGTTTTCCTCGGACAAGGGCCACGATGGTCTCAATCTGGGAATTCGACTTTTCCAAATAATTCTGAAAAACAAAGTGTCCATGATTTTCAGAAAGGTTCGATCATATACAATTACGGGAACAAAGACGTTTCGTTACTAGTATTCATCCAAAACTACTTTACCTTTAAGCCATCTTTCTCCAGAATTGCTTGCGACACTTCTGCAGTCCAAAATATACCACTACAAGCTAAAATAATCTAAAGAAAAGACAAAGTAACGTAAATAGGATACATACACTCGAGCATTAAAGTAACATTCTTGAGATCCTCTTTACAATTCTACCAAATACAGCGTGACAAAGTGATCTTAGCCTGCTGCACACACGAAACTAAACTCTGGTTAAGTCCCTCTGCGAAAAAGCGCCGAAATACTTGTTCTGGGGCCGCCACCCTAGCACCAGGATTTGAGTACGAGCCATGATTGGCTTGCTAAAAAAATCCATTGTCAATTTTCCAATCAGGATGAAAGGAAATCCGTAGCCTGCGTTCCAGGCGCTTGGAAGTAGTGGGCGAAAGAGAGAACGGGCGCGCGCGAGGGAGACACGCTCCCTCTCCCCTCGCTTGTCTCCTTCTCTCGCGCACGTTTTTTCTTGTGCCCACTACTTCCAAGTGCCTGCTACGCAGGCTAGGAAATTCGAAACGCTCTTCCGGTAATTCGTTGAGTCCGTTGGGGGCCCAGGACAAGGACATCGGCGCTGCCTCGCACAGGCTAAGTGATATTGATGTAAACCATTATACCTGAAAAAAGTCTTAAATCTGACACCCACCTAATAGTCACAAGCCAAAGTAACAACGTGCTCAGACCAATTTAATAATTTTTTTTTCGGGTGAAGATGTATGGCGAGGCACTCTGTAGTTTGCCGGGTGGAAGGATAAGGGATTCTCATAGTATCACTGACTTAGCTTTTCTAACGCCTCTTGTAAGATTGCGACTTGACGACGCAGCCCTCACATAGCGTCTGCAAGTTCCGCTTAGATTATATAGTAGATATCTCATCATCTGCATGGTTCTAGCAGTAGCAATGAGACATTGCTGACATATCAGGCGAACTTAGGGGCTGATCAACAGAGCAGTAACATGACAAACACAAATCTGATGTTGACTGTATTTAATTGCGTATCTTACCTGCCCAGGCCACTCTTGCACCCATTTACCGCGAGGAGTCTGGTTATAAGCATTTACTGCATCCTCTGTAACTTTCTTCAGACTGCTAATCATGACTTCTTCAACTTGAAAGAGCCACTTTTCAACCATGCCCTAGAAATGCAACGCAGAGTTGAAGTTATCTCACAACCTTCACATCACCAAGAATGAAAATCCGAAAAACGTTTTCTAACACAGCACAGAAAATCAAAAAAAAGGTGATGGAGGCAATTATAATCACTCAGTTAGTTTGGGTTTAATCATTTGCGTAACTCGATTCGAACAAAAGAACTTCGCGTTTTAAGTGCTATGCTCTCTTCCAACAGGAACATCTTGGTTGTAGGTTTTATTACAGTTAAGCCAGGTCAAGCAAATTCTTACACATTAAAGGTGTTACCTTTGCTTTAGCAGGAATGATTTTAGTACTGAATGGTACTGTTTCATTCTCGGCACTAATCATTCCCACAACTTCCTGATCTTCCGTGAACTCAAGCCTGGCTATTCCCTCAAAACATTTCTTTAAGTGCGGCTGAACTCGCAATGGATCTTTGGTCTCGGATAGAATCTCCAACAGCTCATCATTTGACAAGAAGAAAAACCTGAGTATGAAAGAGTCCAATTTAAGAGAGCTCGACAAGTCATAAAGCTTTCCCTCCCCCACCCCCACAATGCATTGTTGTGCCGCTGTTCGAGCTACCTGCACCCCAACTTTGAATGGAGGGGAGAGGGGAGGGGTGTGGATTGCGAAGTTACCCCATTTGAGGACCATGTAGCAACAATTTTGCCACCTATTGTAGCATCAAATAAACCGTGCTCACGGTCTGATAAAGTTCCCGTGACCGACGGACAGACGTTTTTTCTTGGCCAGAAAATGATACACTGAGAAGTTGCTGCCAATTGCCTCCAACAATTGTTGCGGCAATCTCTCAACATCGCACTATTCGCCACTCCAAAAACAGGGAGACTGGCCCCAAGTTTTCTGCACCAGGATTCCAGCGTCTTTTGTGGTCGCTCGTTTAACCACGAAGAGCTGATGTTCAGGGACCCTGACTAATGAATGAGGAAGAGCGGGCCAATTTTCAACTAATGTAGGACTGTTAGACAATTTACCTTGGAAAGAAGAGTTGTTTCTTCTCCAGGTAGGCATTAAGACCCTTTTGAATTTCCTCCAGCAGTTGATTGGATTCATTCAGTCTTCCCAGCATGTTAGGTTGGGCGGTTGCCACAAGAACTTGCGTGTCTTTCACCTACAAGAAATATTTACATCAAATGTTACAGGTACAAAGTAGGCGGGACTGTACAAAACTTTCATATGTATAAGGACCTCTTACAGGATATGTTGATGTCGTTTGCGACGATTGCAAAATTAGTGAAAGCGAACTCCTTGAAACTTAACAATTAAGTATGATGAGGATAAAGTTGTCACGAGCTGTAGAAGGCAAAAATAAGAAGGGTGTTATTATGATTGATAAGATAAAGCCACTAACAGGCTCTGTATGTACTGACGATAGATGCTGTTCATCCAAAAGATGTCTACTAAAATTAAAAACTGTCGTATGACTTCTTCTTAAATTTATTTCCTGCCTTATTTGTAAGTTATACTATTCATTTACAGGTTTCTGTTGCGACTGGGTCAGAGTTGTGATAAATTGGACCATAGGAATACTTAGGGGGATAAATTTTGACCCAGGTTCCTGCGCAGCACTAAGGTGGGAGCCATTAAAGAAGCGATAGCGGTTCCAAAACAGTCCCATAGTTCAATTCGAAACAACACCTACCCAATCTCACACGCGACATTAAAAAGGCCAATACTATCTTAAGACTGTAAATAACTTGACTCAGTCTTATCTTGGGGAACTCACGATACCCGTCATCTTTACATGACTAGGACTAATGGGACAAAAGCATGTGTAACGTGGTTTCGCAGGGGGGCAAACAAATGACAAAGTCTTCCAATGCAAGAAATCGTAGTAACTAGTCGAATTTGTTTATTCTAGACAAAGAAAATGAAGAACTCTTCATCTTAAATTATGGGTGGAAGTGATAGTTGTTGCATTTTTGGATGCACTAGCGACGTAGAGTCCTTACAGCAAGCAATACTGACGTAAAACTTCCCGAAACTCGAACTGGACATTTTGCAAGACTTATATCGTCGTCTCGTTTTGACAAAAATACACAAACTCGACCGCGATTACTCGTATTGGCAAATGTTATCACTTGTATGCTCCCTGGAATACCACAGTAGCACTGGTTTTATCTCATCAATCCTAATATAAGGTCTGTTGGCCACTTACTGCTTCTCCCATGATGTCCTTCCAGTAGCTGTCTACTATTCCAAACTTGCGTCCCTCTTCTGGCATCTGAGCCATTATGTCCTCTGAACTGAAGATTGGTTCAAGATACAGCCATGTTGCTTGGCACTACAATAGAATTAACGAAGATCAATGACTGCCCACTTACCCCTCCCCTAAGCCATCATTTTGACCTAAGTGAGAAGTAGGTGTTAATGTTAGCTTAGGGGAGGGATAGGTGGGTAGTTTCCCAGAAAACTACACATAGTACACTGTGTAGTAGCGTTCAGTTTAAAGATGGACATTGAACATGAATCATACTTTTAAGAAAATTCTAGATTTAACTAACAACCCGACGCGGAAATTCAATTAAGAAAATTTTATGTAAGAATTTTTTTACCCAAATATGAAGGATATTTGTTGAGAAAGAAAGAGAAAAAGAGAAAAAAAACCTTCTCCCTTCGCAATTCCTCGCAGGTACCTTGAGAGCAGGGGTTACCTTTCCACAAAACTACTTGCGTGCGGAAAGAAGCCTATGCTGATAACCGTCTATCCCCACCCAAAAGTTTGGACGAATAAATTGAAAATAACTGGTTTCTAACCTCATTTTGACTGGTTTGGTAATACCTCGATCTGCTGTCGTGTTATCTAATGTGCACGCTTTGTAAGACTAGCGAAAACAATAACGCACGTTTTTAGACTTAACACAAAAAAGTTGTGGTTTTATCCAGTTATTTTTTTCAATCGGACTGATCGCGCGCTAAATTAAACATGCGTCATCGCCTGACTCAATTCACGCATGCGTGGGACAACTGTCGGCGGAGGCTACTTACTATACGTACGCCAGTCCATACAACAAAAAAGGTGTCTCTGCTCACACAGGACGTCCAATTTCACACGTACCACCGATAACAAGCTTAATACTACATTGTATATTTAATTATGGTATTTTAAAAGCGAAGAAACAAACCTTCAGCCAAGCATCAAGTATATCTTGCATTTCGATTAGCTTTTCACACCATTCCTGTAGTGAGAAAAGATTTTAAAAAATGCATTATATAATTTTTACCGCAGGAATAGGCATTGAGAAGAACCCCAACTAATGAATCTTTGTGATGTCTGGTACAGCATTTGAAGCACAGTGAGATGAAAAATTACGTTATTATGATGTAGAAAAAATAACCCTTTAAAAGGACTTGACATACAGCGGTTCAAAAGACGGAATACAATTAAGAGAGCTATGGCATCTCAGCCAAATCTAGCAGTTATCTATTGTTATCCAATGGCTATAAGATCACAAAAATCCACTTCCTTAAAACAACAAAACCAAATCTTTTAATTTCGAGTAGGTTTTGAGAAGCAAACGTTTTCGGCGCAACGTTTTCTGGGATGGTTTGGGTGGGCAAGCATTACTTATGATGATTGGTTAATAGTTACCTTGACCAATCACACCTAACGCTAACATCGACCAATCATAACTCAAGCTTTTCCACCCAAAGGATCTCAGAAATCATTGCGCCGCAATCTTGTACCCATTCCCCTTAAAGTTTCTGGAGTGGCCAGGAAATTATTTGTACTGAGACAATTTACACAGCATCAGTGACGAAGTTAACAAACCTTGATGTCTGCCTCAAAAGGCTTAATGAATGGTGATCCACTCATGGTCTGCGCTTTGACAATGTGATCATCAAGCAACAGTTGTATATCATCCACAGCAGAGAGAATGGATACACCCTGACAAGTAAAGCAATAGAAAAAATTGAGATCAGATAAAAACTTGTAGCAAATGTCTAACTTTTTGAACAGAGAACGTAATTTACTACAAACGCTTGCTGTGCCTTTGTCTACTTACCGTATCTCTATAAGGAGTGAACTCAAAGTACATGTCCTTCCATTCAATTTTCATCTTCTCCATGGCTTTCTCAAGACCAAATTCTTTACTAGCAGCACCGCTTACCTCATCTAGTCTTTAAGGAAACAGATTAATCAGTTACTTACATCATTGACATTTGCTAAACCCTTCCATCATTTTAAAAAAAAACTACGTAAATATAACCAGAGGTTACAAATTGTAAATGCTGCGAGCAGATGCTGGGCAGTAAAATATCTGAGAAACGATGAACTAATATACGCATTTTGCTAATTACAGATCCTCTGATTCGGTCAATTAATAGTTATGGGATAAAGGACAACAAGGGAGTCCTAGAATCACGAGTTCTTTGTGATTTGGGTCTTAATTGGCCAAACGAAAATAATTTGAAACTGTTTGCGCGCTCTACAATGTGTAACAAAAATGACGAAATTAGAGTGTTACGATTTGAAATCAAGTCATGATGACACCGCTGGATATACTTGCTAAAAATCATCCTGGCAAACAAAATTCCAGATTGCAACAGGACACCCGAAGAACCACAGGAAACCCAAAGATAAGCGTCCTGCTCGCCCCAAAAAGAAGTGCTAGAATGGTAATTCAAAACTTACTTTTCTGTGTGTTTGTGAAGGTTGTACTCCAGCATGTTACACAAGGATGTTGTTGCCTCAGGTTTGATGTCAAACCCAACAACTTCACTCATCTGCAACAACCATACAAATATAACTACCTTATTCATCAATAAACAAATTATTTCGATTTATTGTATTTAAATTCACCCTTGGATCCATTCTTGGGGAAATAAGTCAGAAGAAGTGTATTATCACGGTATTATTCATCCGTGAACTTCAAGGTGATTTGTTTCGTTCCCCAAGCTTGGGACGGTTCATATAGATGTTATAGATGCCTAAAATTACCATAGGGACACAGGGTGCAATATCACTTGTAACATTCTGTTGATACATACAAATATTCAATTTGTCCCATACTTTAATGAGGTGTACAAAAAGTTGCTGCAAAGGGTCTTTATTAGTGAAACACCAAAACTAAATTGAATTCCACTTTGATTACCACGAAGGGGTAGCTTAGTTGATACGTAGAAAGATGGTCTGCGCGAGTTCGATCCCGGGCGCCTGACCTATACTCAGTTTTCTAAAAGCACTAAGAAAGAAGTTGTGGCTTGGATGACCACCTAGAAATGACAGTCCTGTCCAGTGGCGGATTCAGGGGTGGGGCCCGGGGGTCCAGGGCCCCTCCCTTATCAAAGGGTCTGGATGACCGCCCTCCCCCCCGCCTTATCTCAAGGTCTGGATCGGGCACTACTGTTTCCCCAAAGAGATCTATCAACAGAGTGGACATTCCTTTTACCTGTTCCCAATGCCGCTCTCTGAGGCCAGGATTACAAATAATCTGCAAGAGTGGGATGTGAACTTTGAACTTGTCGATCTTGCTTTTGACGCTATCAGCCACTCTTCTTGGTCCTGGAGCATCTCCGAAGGTTTTGGTCAGTTTCAACACTGTCCTGTACATACCGCCAATTTCCTCTTCAACCTCTTCTGAGTTAATGTCAGTAAATGGCCCTTTTGAAAGCAAACAGAAGTAGAATGATTAGTCGTCCTATACAAGACTTGCGCTCTCTGTTCTGCTGTATGGTGAAGAAGACTTGGAGTGCAAAGACCACTAACGGTGCTTAAGTCGGTGTTTTAACAAAAGGGAACTTAAGCAACGACGACGGCGACGGCAACGAGAATGGCAAAATAACAACTTTGCACGTGCATCGCGCCTTTTTGGAACATTTCTTAACCGCCGTTGCACGACTACAACGTGAAAGTGCCTAATTTCACGCTTTGTCGAGGACGGGAACACTAAACAATCATCTTCTTTTCGTTTTCCTGAACTTTGATACAATCCTTCAACTCCAAAAAAATATGCCAACATCTGACGAATGAAACGACATGGAATAAGCGCGATTAAGTTTGAGGCAGCGCGAATTCACTTTTTAAGTGACGTTTTCGTAGCCGTGGCCGTGGCCGTTGTCTTTGCTTAAGCTCCCTAATATCACTGTATATGGAGAATCTGTGAAGTTAAATGGATAGACTTGACCTCTACCGAGAAAAAATCGAATAATCAGGAAAACAAGGACTTCGCTTTTAGTCACTAACTTACAGGTATATCATCTCAGCCTTAAAAGGCATTAATTGCTATATTTACATGGGCGGTACGTATGCCACGCAGACACTATTAGAACTGTAAGTGCTTTTTATTTCATGCTTCACGTCTTTCATTGCCGGATCTAATATTTCCAGTTGCTCTATTTACTGAACGTTTACCCAGCCTGTTTGAAATGTTGAATGTGACTACTTATCTTTACTAATACATAATGTAACTGCGTTTTGCCGGTCAGCCAACTTCATTACTTTATAAAAGGACAGTCTCAAGGCTTACCGTTAAGCCAGGCTTCATGTTTGTTATGGAAAGACAAGGCTGTTCTCCATAGCTTATCATAAGGTTCTTTGTAAGCCATCATAGTTTGGAGAATCGGGAACTGTGTGGCCTCAAACTCTAACAATTCTTCTTCTGTATTCACTTGCTACAAAGCAAAGTATAACAACATCAGTAAACAAAATAAAGAATATTACAGCTACATCTTTCTAATTTCATTAACCCTTTCACTGCCAGAGTGCTTGATGGAGTTTTGTAAGGTAGCTCTAACTTTTGAGTCTGTGGACGAAACCCTATGGAGTGACCATTCAAATGAAACCTCTCTACCTGTANAAATAAAGAATATTACAGCTACATCTTTCTAATTTCATTAACCCTTTCACTGCCAGAGTGCTTGATGGAGTTTTGTAAGGTAGCTCTAACTTTTGAGTCTGTGGACGAAACCCTATGGAGTGACCATTCAAATGAAACCTCTCTACCTGTACTTACACATGGTGCTACTTGTTTTTCAAAATTTCACAAAATGAAATTTGGGATTTTTTTGTCGAATTTTACCTTTGGCCACATTTGGCAGTGAAAGGTCTAACACGCCTTTAATAAGACATAACCGGGTTGCCTCAAGCCTCTGTTTCAAAGCGAGGCTAAGTACCAAACCACTGAGTTGAAAATGATTTTTCATTCCCATACAGTTGAACCTCGTTATAACAGGTAAAAATTTGCACTTAGCCTCGTTTTGAAAGTGAGGGTTTTTTGAACTCGGAAATAGCCTTTTTTTATAGCCACACAACACACTTCAATCACTGCTGATCCGAGCATAGTCTTTTTTACGCAGCCGTTGTTGACTGAGGAGGAGCTTGCGTGACGGGACAAAAAAAGCTGGGTAGGACACTAATCCTAGCAGTATTAAAGTAGGACACTTGATACAGCTGTACATAAGAAGCAGTAGTACATGTAAACAATCAAGCATGCCATGTGTCTCTTCGTAGCTCAGTAAGAGTAGCCTGAGTAGCTGGCGGGACTTGTCGCTCGTGGCTGTAAACGAAGATCACAAAAGCAGCCAATACGCGAAAAGAATGAAGATGACTGAAATAGAGATCTCGCTGCAATTTTCTCTAACAGTGGCTTAGCACAAAAAAAAAACACTCCCACATTCCCACCTTATCAGCTAGGAAAGCTAAAGAGGAGTTGTTCATTCAGTTTAAATCCCGCAGAAAAAACTCGTTTCTTTCCTTCTTCCATGCTTCTGACATGAGGAATAATATATCTTTTCCGTTCGAGTTAATGAATTCTAATGAAACTACCGAACATGACTCATTATTTAAAACCTGAGTAATGCAGTGTAATTTTAACTTACAATTAGTTCTTCTTGTGCATTTTTCAGTGCTTCTTCAAGTTCATCAAGTTTCTCAACATTCTTTTTCATTTCATCTACTGCCATAATCTAAAATCAAAAGAGAAACAACGTGAAAATTCGAAGAAAACTATAAAATGAAAGATAAAAACACACAATATTCACGTCACTCAAAAATAAACAGTTATTTGAGATGGAATCCATTAGGAAATTGAGTAATTATAAATTTCATTGGACAAAAACCTTGTGCCAGAATAATTTCAATCATATTGCATTCTTGTTTACAACTTTTCGAGGGCTATAAACTTGAAAAGTGTACGAAAGAATGCGATGTGGCTTAAAATGTTCTGGTACAAGGTTTTTGTCCACTGAAAATTAAAATTACTCAATTTCCTGGTGGTTTCCGTCTTAATCACTTGCCTCTTTCTTTCTAAATGCTTCAACTTCTTTATTGTAACCATTAAGTTTATCTTCAAATGCCTTGACCCTGGACAAAAAATAAAGAAAGACTAATTACGATGACGTTTTCTATATAAGGTTATATGATCTGCGAGCGATGAGATGGATCGTAGACTGTCTAGCCAAAAAACTGCGAGGGGGTGGGGTAGGGAGAGAGGGAAGGTTCCCTCACTCTCCCCCTCTTCCTTCCTTTTGCCTTTTTTCTCTCCGCTCTCCATTTCGCGCCACCCTCGACTATCTGGATGCCTAGAAAAGGCTAGATGGGTAAAACTGTTAAGTAAAATTTTTCAAGACATGCAAGCCATTAGTTTGACCTTTACATAGAGATAGTTTTAACAGAACTTCAAGGATCCAAAATCCCATCATCTGAATTTGTGAGCTACTAAAATTTTCACGTTGCCGCAATCCCAGCTAATCTCCTCCTAACAAAAAATTCTAAAGGAACTCTGGCCGGTCCACAGAGTAGCTATTTTGATGAACTTGGTACCAAGACCTGCTATGATGTTTACTTTTCCACTGATCGTACAATTTGCCAAATTCACAAAACAGCCAACAGAAAAAGAGCTTTTTGTTACACTGCAAAATAATATTCACTTACTTTCTCTTGACCTCATCCATGGCAAGATCCTTTCTATGTCCAATCCTGTTTTTGCTAAGCTCAAAGATCTTTTGAATGTGCTCAGGCCAGTGGAAAACAGTGCTGTTCAATTTCAGATCCTCGTCTGAAATGCAAGTGCGATGTTTTATTAATGCTTAGTAATTAAATAAAAATTACAGTTCCACAACTATAAATGTAATACAAAAAGCAGCAAATAGGTAAGGAGAATGATGGTGTTTTGTTTACTTAGGCCCGGTTCAGACGCCGAACTTTTCATGAGCCGAACCTAATACATTGAATTAAGTTTTATGAAAAGTTCGGTGTCTGAATAAATATTATTAGGAATGCCTTTTTCAATCAGGAACGACTCAACCGTTCTTTTCGTCTAGCCCGGGCAGGAATTTCGCCTTTGCAGCGACTTTGGAACGGCTTTGATTCAGACGCCCAACTTTTCATGTACCGAACCTAATACATAAATAAATTATAACGTATTTTGTAAGCAGTTTGACCGAAATGAACATTTTCCGCCTTTTGAACTTAGTTCAGCTGCAATTAAGATGGGCGTCTGAATCAATTCAACCGGTCTAAATAATTTATGTCGGCCTTAATTCGAATTAGGTTTGGCTCATGAAAAGTTCGGCGTCTGAACCGGGCCTAAGTCACAGGGGCGACTGTGGCAATAAAACTCGGAGTTCTTCCAACAGGAGTCAATCACACATACACACCGGTTGCAAGAACAGATGCTCTATCACTGAGCTACAGCAAACTTCAACCTCATTCCCAGGTTCTCTCTCCTGAGAACCCTGGGAACGAGGTTGCTTGAGACTTCACGGGTTAACTTCACGGGTGAACTCAACCAGTAAGTTAGGAAATATCAAATGAGCAAAGAAAGCTAACATACATGGAAGTGTGGCATATTCCAGTAAAAACAACAGTCTCTCCCCGGCCTCATCAACAGCAGTTTGCAAATTAACTACAGTAACAGAACTGGCGTTCTCCAAGAATTGTGTCAGAGCAACCAAGTCACTTGTGTTGTCAGGCATCTCTTGGACTTTGTCTGATATCTCATCGTAGGATCTACACAGGCTACAAGTACAATTACAAATAACTTTGAATTAGCTGTTATCATTATCATTATTATTTTAACTGTTAATTTTCCTGTTTTTATGTTTTGTCATAAACCTATGACTGTTTCAGACGGTTAAACAGATAACAAATACATCTTTCTAATTTCATTAACCCTTTCACTGCCAGAGTGCTTGATGGAGTTTTGTAAGGTAGCTCTAACTTTTGAGTCTGTGGACGAAACCCTATGGAGTGACCATTCAAATGAAACCTCTCTACCTGTATTTACACATGGTGCTACGTGTTTTTCAAAATTTCACAAAATGAAATTTGGGAGTTTTTGTCGAATTTTACCTTTGGCCACATTTGGCAGTGAAAGGGTTAACACGCTCTTAATAAGCCATTAGCCAGTTGCCTCAAGCCTCTGTTTCAAAGCGAGGCTAAGTACCAAACCATTGAGTTAAAAACGATTTTTTATTCCCATGCAGATGAAACTCAATATCACAGGTAAAAATTTGCACTTAGCCTCGTTTTTTGGAACTCGGAAATAGCCATTTTTTATAGCCACACAACACGCTTCAATCACTGCTGATCCGAGCATCGTATTTTTCTACGCAGCCGTTTTTGACTGAAGAGTAGCGTTGCGTGACGAGACAAAAAAAGCTGGGTAGGAGACTAATCCTAGCAGTATTAAAGTAGGACACTTGATACAGCTGTACATAAGAAGCAAAAGTACGTGTAAAAGACCAAGCATGCCATGTGTCTCTTCGTAGCTCAGTAAGAGTAGCCTGAGTAGCTGGCGGGACTTGTCGCCCGCGGCTGTAAACGAAGATCACAAAAGCAGCCACTACGCGAAAAGAATGGAGATGACTGAAATAGAGATCTCACCGCGATTTTCTCTAACAGTGGCTTCGCAGAAAAAAAACACTCCCACATTCCTTGTCAGCTAGGAAAGCTAAAGAGGAGTTGTTCATGCAGTTTAAATCCCGCAGAAAAAACTCGTTTCTTTCCTTCTTCCATGCTTCTGACATAAGGAATATTATATCTTTTCCGCTCGAGTTAATGAAATCTAATGAAACTACCGACCATGACTCATTATTTAAAACCTGAGTAATGCAGTGGAATTTTAACTTACAATTAATTCTTCTTGCGCATTTTTCAGTGATTCTTCAAGTTCATCAAGTTTCTCAACATTCTTTTTCATTTCATCTACTGCCATAATCTAAAATCAAAAGACAAACAATGAGAACATTCGAAGAAAACTATAAAATGAAAGATAAAAACACAATATTCACGTCACTCAAAAACAAACAGTTATTTAAGATGGAATCCATTAGCAAATTGAGTAATTATAATTTTCACTGGACAAAAACCTTGTGCCAGAATAATTTCAATCATATTGCATTCTTGTTTACACTTTTCGAGGGCTATAAACTTGAAAAGTGTACGAAAGAATGCAATGTGCTTAAAATTTTCCGGTTACAAGGTTTTGTCCACTGAAAATTAAAATTACTCAATTTCCTGGTGGTTTCCGTCTTTATTACATCCACTTTGAAATCACTGGCTATCCGTGCAATCTGATTGGCTATCAGCAGTGTGATTTATCCCTAAATCGCACCATTTTTTGCTCTAAATCGCATCTGCTCCAAATCGCGTCAGTCACGTTCTAAATCGCATCATTTCTGTTTTAAATCGCACCATTTTTGTGCTATATCGCATCATTTCTGTTTCGAATACAAAATGAGATGTAAAAGCCTTTTTGTTTCCGCTTTTTAACAAACCGGCTTCTTGATCAATAAAATACAGTATTCGTACTGACTGAATTCTGTGATTTCAAAATGGCTGTAATAAAGTGGTAATTGAACTGAGTGGAGTGAAATTTGGCCTGAAATCATACTTGTGATTTCAAATCGAACTCGCGCTGCGCGCTCGTTTGATTTTGAAATCACAAGTATGATTTCAGACCAAATTTCACTCCACTCAGTTCAATTACCATTATTAATAACTTGCCTCTTTCTTTCTAAATGCTTCAACTTCTTTATTGTAACCATTAAGTTTATCTTCAAATGCCTTGACCCTGGACAAAAAAAACAAAAACTAATTACGATGACGTTTTCTATATAAGGTTATACGATCTACGAGCGATCAGATGGATCGCAGACTGTCTAGCCAAAAAACTGCGAGGGGGTGGGGGTGGGGGTAGGGAGAGAGGGAAGGTTCCCTCACTCTCCCCCTCTTCCTTCCTTTTGCCTTTTTCCTCTCCGCTCTCCATTTCGCGCCACCCTCGACTATCTGGACGCCTAGAAAAGGCTAGATGGGTAGTCTGGCAATGCTCTTTCCTGCAGCACAACGTGGAAGACTAACTGTTGCGTAATATTTTTCAAGACATGCAAGCCATTAGTTTGATCTTTACAGTTCCTTAAGTGATAGTTTTAACAGAACTTTAAGGATCCAAAATCTCATTATCTGAATTTGTGAGCTACTAAAATTTTCACATTGCCGCGATCCCAGCTAATCTCCTCCTAACAAAAAATTGTAAAGGAACTCTGGCCGGTCCACAAAGTAGCTATTTTGATGAACTTCGTACCAAGATCTGCTATGATGTTTACTTCTCCAGTGATCATAGAATTTGCCAAATTCACACAACAACCAACAGAAAAAGAGCTTTTTATTACACTGTAAAATAATATTCACTTACTTTCTCTTGACCTCATCCATCGCAAGATCCTTTCTATGTCCAATCCTGTTCTTGCTGAGCTCAAAGATCTTTTGAATGTGCTCAGGCCAGTGGAAAACAGTGCTGTTCAATTTCAGATCCTCGTCTGAAATGCAAGTGCGATGTTTTGTTAATGCTTACTAATTAAATAAAAGTTACAGTTCTACAACTATAAATGTAACACAAAAAGCAGCAAATAAGTATGGAGAATGATGGTTTTTTGTTTACTAAGGCCCGGTTCAGACGCCGACTTTTCATGAGCGGAACCTAATACATTGAATTAAGTTTTATGAAAAGTTCGGTGTCTGAATAAATTAGGAATGCCTGTTTCAATCTGGAACGACTTAGCCGTTCTTTTCGCCTAGCCCGGGCAGGAATTTCGCCTTTGGAGCGACTTTGGAACGGCTTTGATTCAGACGCCGAACTTTTCATGTACCGAGCCTAACGCATAAATAAATTATAACGTATTTTGTAAGCAGTTTGACCGAAATGAGCAGTTTCCACCTTTTGAACTTAGTTCAGCTGCATTTAAGATGGGCGTCTTAATCAATTCAACCGGTCTTAATAATCTGGGTCGGCCTTAATTCGAATTAGGTTCGGCTCATGAAAAGTTCGGCGTCTGAACCGGGCCTTATAAGTCACACAGGCGACTGTGGCAATAAAACTCGGAGTTCTTCCAACAGGAGTCAAACACACACACACTGGTTGCAAGAACAGATGCTCTATCACTGAGCTACAGCAAACTTCAACCTCATTCCCAGGTTCTCTCTGCTGAGAACCCTGGGAGCGAGGTTGCAGGAGACTTCACGGGTGAACTCAACCAGTAAGTTAGGAAATATCAAATGAGCAAAGAAAGCTAACATACATGGAAGTGTGGCATATTCCAGTAAAAACAACAGTCTCTCCCCGGCCTCGTCAACAGCAGTCTGCAAATTAACTACAGTAACAGAACTGGCGTTCTCTAAGAATTGCGTCAGAGCAACCAAGTCACTTGTGTTGTCAGGCATCTCTTGGACTTTGTCCGATATCTCATCGTAGGATCTACACAGTCTACAAGTACAATTACAAATAACTTTGAATTAGCTGTTATCATTATCATTATTATTTTAACTGTTAATTTTCCTGTTTTTATGTTTTGTCATAAACCTATGACTGTTTCAGACGGTTAAACAGATAACAAANCGAAATGAACATTTTCCGCCTTTTGAACTTAGTTCAGCTGCAATTAAGATGGGCGTCTGAATCAATTCAACCGGTCTAAATAATTTATGTCGGCCTTAATTCGAATTAGGTTTGGCTCATGAAAAGTTCGGCGTCTGAACCGGGCCTAAGTCACAGGGGCGACTGTGGCAATAAAACTCGGAGTTCTTCCAACAGGAGTCAATCACACATACACACCGGTTGCAAGAACAGATGCTCTATCACTGAGCTACAGCAAACTTCAACCTCATTCCCAGGTTCTCTCTCCTGAGAACCCTGGGAACGAGGTTGCTTGAGACTTCACGGGTTAACTTCACGGGTGAACTCAACCAGTAAGTTAGGAAATATCAAATGAGCAAAGAAAGCTAACATACATGGAAGTGTGGCATATTCCAGTAAAAACAACAGTCTCTCCCCGGCCTCATCAACAGCAGTTTGCAAATTAACTACAGTAACAGAACTGGCGTTCTCCAAGAATTGTGTCAGAGCAACCAAGTCACTTGTGTTGTCAGGCATCTCTTGGACTTTGTCTGATATCTCATCGTAGGATCTACACAGGCTACAAGTACAATTACAAATAACTTTGAATTAGCTGTTATCATTATCATTATTATTTTAACTGTTAATTTTCCTGTTTTTATGTTTTGTCATAAACCTATGACTGTTTCAGACGGTTAAACAGATAACAAAGAGATTGCTGAAAACAAAGACCGTATCCAATTAATTTCAAGTTGAAACTATTTTATTTGTAACATGCAAGAAAAACGTTTGATATTCACTGGTTTCTACTTTGTCATTTCTACTTTTTGGCTCTCACTTTGTAAAACTCAAATCCTGTACAAAAGACTGATGGTGGAGAGCTTCAATGGTTATTTCAAGTTGACGTCTATTATCTTAAGATGGTCATTTGATTAGTGGAAAGTGTCACACTTCAAACATGTTTACCCTCTGTTTCTATCTCTGTTCTGATCTACAACATAATGGATCATTTTGTCGGCTAGACGTGCAGCTCGGGCAGACAACTCTTGATTGACATCATCGCAGTTTAAGCAGAGCATGTTTAGGGGAACAGTAATATGCAATGAAGCAATTTCCTTGGAGAGATTCTGGTATGAATCAATTTTCTGGAGGAGAGAAGGAAAATACATGATTAAGTTCTGACAGATAAGGTGAAAGTTCAGTCACCAACAGCAATTGCTCCAGTTTAAGAATGCTAGCATGTTGGGAACGTGATGTGAAGGTCTTAAAATGCCATTAGTTGACACTTTGCTGCTGCCATGGGTGAAAACAAGACCTGGGCTGGGCCATGGCCCACCCTAAATTTTGTAATTCTGCCAGAATAAAATGCAAAACGCGAAATCAATGTGAAAAGCCTGAGCAAGGCAAAAGAAAAAAGTCAAATGAAATTGACATACCGGTATACAATACTAGGCACACTACCAAAGGTAATTATTATCAGAAAGAAGCTAAGTCAAAAATTTGCTTACACCCTGCTACAACAGACATTGGCATTGTGCTAGATAAAGAGGCTGACTGTACCTGAATAATAAACCATATCTTCACATTTTATAATATCAATGCAACATTCAGGGTAGAAAAAATGGTACCTTGGACAAGGCAAGCAGTACAGGCTCATCTTGAATGAAAGCATTTATTTCTGTTTCTGCTTTGTTGTTAAGCAAATCTTGATATTTCTTGTATGTATTCAAGTACCTGTCAAATAAAAAGAATCGTTGTGTATGTCCCCACCTCAACACTAAGCAGTGGAAAAATAATATGGCTATATCAGTAAGTACCATTAATCTTTTTTCATTAGAACCACTAGAATCTGGAACCTGCTTATTACTAGACTTGACCTAGATAATGTTACTTTGAGAACTTTAAATGTGTTCTTTACGGTTATTGCTTGCGGGCTCTAGCAATAAACTATGACCCGGACTCTCCAAGGAGCTTCAAAAGTATTTGCTTGAAATGTAACACGGCCAGGTTTTTAGACCAAGAAATTAGCTGCTGCATGTGATTTAAATTGCTACTTTTATATCTTTTTATTTTTTGGGTCTGCAGTAATTGGCTTTAGCTGTTGCAGTGTCCCTGCCCAAATATTTAAGTTATTATTAGTGTATTGTTACGTTCTTATTACTAGTGTTTGCATTTCTTCAGTGTTTTGTTTGTTTGTTGTTTTTTTTTGCATCCTTCTGGGCAAAGCTAATAAAATAAAATAAATAAAAATAATCCTTTCACTCCTGAAAGTAGGCAAAGTGAGACAGTTTACTAAAAATGCAAATTTCTTTTTTGTAAACACCTAAGAAATAGATAGTGCTATGCAGAAGTTCTTCCAAAGAGGTTTCATTTAACTGGTAACATCATAGGAATTTGTCCACAGAATGAAGAGCGAAACAATAGATGCCCTAGAACAACTTGGCACTGGATAGTACAGAATGTAGAAAAGGAGACTGCAGAGGCAGGATGGGGGTTGTGTGACCAAGTCAGAGCTTGTCTGAGGGATAGGGAAGGTTGGCGGAGAGGTGTGAAGGCCTAACGGCAACAGGATGTAAAGAGGGCGAGGTAGGAAGGGGGGTGACAAATAATCTTGACATATATGGGGTCTAAGAGTGAAAAAGTTAAATATAACAACAAGTTGTGGGACCAAGTCCATGCTTGTTTGAGGGATAGGGAAGGTTGGCGGAGAGGCGCGAAGGCCTAACAGCAACATGATACAAAGAGGTGAGGTAGACAGGGAGGTGACAAATAATTTTGACATATATGTGGTCTAAGAGTGAAAAAGTTAAACATAAGAACAAGTTGTGGGACCAAGTCCATGCTTGTTTGACGAATAGGGAAGATTGGCGGAGAAGTGTTTAAGGCCTCATGGCAACAGAAGAAGAGGCGAAGTAGTTAAAGAAGCGGCAAATAATCTTGCCATAAATAATGTGGTCTAGGAGTGAAAAAGTTAAATATAACAACAACTACTTTTGTGGTCCCACTGTGTTGAGTTTGAACACATCCACTGCCTCATTCATGTGGTCTTGAACCAGCGCTTCTTCAACATGAACTGAACGAAGAAACAATTTTTTGTCTTTCATATCAGGGAACAGTTCAATTTCAACCTAAAGAAAAAGACAGAATATACAGAATTAATGATATCTCAGTCACCATTGAAAAACCCATACTACGTTGTAACTCTTTGATAAAGACAAAGTAGCCGCCCCTAGAATCTGGAACATTTTACCGAAGGACATTAGGAAACAGGACAACTATTATACTTTTAAGAAACAGCTTAAGACTTATTATTTTAAACTTGCATACAATTTTTAATTATACATAGGTGTATATTAATTTTACTCTCTTTTTTATGAATTTTAATGAAACATATAACATTTGTTTTAGTTATAATTATTGTAAGTAATAGGTTAAGTACTAAATAATTAAGTTAGGTGTCATTTACAGATATATTCATGTTTAATTCAATAATTAACATATTTTTTAGTTAGCTTTAATAGTTTGTAATGCGCATTTGATCGTTTGATATATGTTAATTTGCACAATACCAAATAATAAAATAATATCATTATTATTATATTACAATAATAGACCTTTTTACTGATACGGCAGCCATATTGAATTAATTTGATTTAAGGAGTATTATAGGATGCCCAGGGGGCATGAGCCCATTTCGTTTGTATTTTCGAGCGCTTTTCGGGACATTTTTTATTAAAGTTTTCTTAGAATAAGATTGTAATGGGAAAAAAGATCTTTGTGCCGTGTTTGGATGTAATAATGATAGCCTTTCCTCCGAGAAATATACAGTGAAAGACCATGTTTTTAATAGAAAATCAAAAATCAAATTAATTCAATATGGCCGCCATATGGGTAAAAAGGTCTATTGCATCTTTTTTCTTAATATCTTATTGTGCTATGGTTTTCACCACTAGTTAATCCTAAATATGAGTTATTATGGACCAGGCCCCGCTTGTACAAATGTTGGATAGCGCTATCCAGCAGATAAATCACTATCCAGCTGATAAGTATTTGGGAAACCAACTGCACTATCCACTGGATAGAGATTTATCCAGCGGATAGTGTTATCCACCTTTTGAACAACTGGGGCCAGGTGTACCGATTAATGTTTTACTTTGGAGTTTTACATCTTTCAAAGTGTTGTAGCAGAACACATTTTAACTTCAATTATGCTGCTCAAGAGGTTTGCGATACTACAAAGCAATTGTTTTTAATCAGTTAAACATAGTTCCTTGAACAGCCCAAAAAAGGTTCTCTAGAAACTCTGTAAGTGATTTACCCTTGGTAGCTCTGCTGCATTTTGCACAATATCTGTCACGAGTCTGAGCAGGATATCACGCAGTTCTCTGAATGGAGGGTCAAACGTCAACTTGCCACCATCAATCTTCAGCTGAACTGTCATGATCTAGCAGACAAAGGAAGTTCATAAATGAGTCAAAGTTCAAGAAACCGTGTTGAAGTCCAAAAACATTGTCACTGACTGGAGTGGGCCGTTTTTATCATGCCATTAATTCTTGCAACATTTCACACTGATTCAACATTAACCCCTAAAAAGAGAAATCTTATGCTGATAACCACTGCATGGAGCTCAAAACCTTCCATGATGGATTGGAACTTCACAACATAGCTCAGAGGTTTGTTTAACACTATTGGTTCCTGGCACTAATGAATTATAATAATAATAATAATTATTATTATTATTATTATTATTTATAATTAAGAATATTGCCCACTACCATACCGCACCATGAACCCTGCTTTATTAATCACATACCTCAGTTTTGACATACTCCAAGTCAGAATAAGTTTCTCCAAAATCATTCCCATTCTAGAGAAAACAATTATTCACAGTGTCTTTATCAAGATAAATAACAAAAAACTTCTGTTAGTAGGCACTAAATAAAAGAAGTAAGTTTCACGATCATAGTCAAGACAATAAGCTAGCAACTTTGCACCATCTCTAGCTATAATCATGGACAAAACCTTGAAACAAATTTGCATTTGTGCAGCTTTTTTAAAACCACATATGCCCTTACCTTCCCCACACACCACAAACAAAATTGGAAGTGTGTATCCCAAATTTTTGCTGAGTTTCAACATTGTATAGGGTGGGAAAAACTGCCAGATATTTTCAAAAAGGTTGCACCATTTACGAGGGCACTCAGAAATTACAGATAATAGTATCACAAATGCTGCATCACTGTCACAAGGACTTTTGTCCAGGTTAAAAGTTAAGAAGTAGTTACCTTGTAGAAACTTAAAAAGCTGACAAAGTCTGCAAGGGAGTTGATAACAAGGCTGCGAAGCTGAGTGGACATGAGTGCTGCAAGACATGCAAAGAACTGCTGTACAAGGATGGTAGAATCACCCTCTGAGTTGGGAACCAAGTGCATCCATTCCTGGCGCTCATCAATAAGGATTTTTGCACATGCTGGAATCCATCTATAAATAATCAATCAGATGTAATAGTCCATCACAGTGACATCACAATCTGAGATAGCAAACCAATCGCATTGCTTGAAACACCAAGATTACTAAGTGTCACTAAATATCATTGTAAGGAATCTATATAAAGGGACAATTTCAGCAGTTTGGGTTTGTGCAGGTAAACCATTGGACATGTTTAGAATTTTATTGTAGAAAACTTTCTTCTTTTAAACTGTATTTTCAGATAAACTAATGCATTAATTTAACATGAAAAATCATGCCAGAGGTGCAAGAGGCACACTCCTTACTCTTGACACATCTCCCTTGAGTTCAAAAATTTCCAGTGTGATCATAAAGAAAGATAAAACTCAAAACTGTCAAGCCCTCCTTCATGTATACTTACGTTCTTTTGAGAAATTCTCTTGTTGTTGCACACTGCTGTTTGACAAGGGATTCAAACTCTGTAGGAGTAACAGGGAGGCCAGAGGCAAGCAGCTTTTCACCATCAACAAACCTAACACCACAGAATCTTAATAAAACACAACAGAGAATTAATGATTAAAAATCACCACTTTGGTCTCAAAAGTAACCTAAGGCACAACATTATTAAACCTGCTACCTGAGATTCAAAAATTCTTTAGACTACCTTGAGCAGGGAGAGGGGGGAAATTAATGTCAACAAGCAAACGAAAACACCCTTCTTAAGTTTTAGCCATCACAAATGAACAATCCCCGATTTAATATTAACAATTATTACTGGACCAGGTTGAGTAATATATTGTGATTTGTCAGTGGGTAACAAGACAATCTGCCATTTTCACACAAGAACGATCGAAAGAAGGAGAAAAGAGTGGTTTCATTTACACATGACCAGAATATTATTTGCAGCCAAACACAGTTGGATGACATTGCGCAGGAGCAAACCATTATTTGCAGGTCACTTGGTGGGCTCTAGGCCAATAAAAAGGAAGAAAAATTTGTATCCCATGATAATGTCACTTGATTAATTCTGGAAGCAGTCATCATCTCACTTCAGCAGTCAATGAGACTGACTGACATCACTCTGTTTCACCACTGAGTCTTATACAGTATGTCTGCAGGGTTTGAGCCAGGCCGCGCCTTTGCGCCAATCCCGCACTGCAATTGGAATTGTCCCTTTAAAAAACGGCCAAGGGGACAATTTGTCCCCTTCAAAATTTAGGGAAAAAACTCGAAAGGAAGCACACTCTATCAGAAGCCCTGCTAAGAAGGAAGGGTGTACAAATTTCTGTCCCCCTAAAAATGAAAATGTCCCCCAAAATTTTAGCCAAGGGGACAAATTGTCCCCCAGTGATCAAATCCTAGCTCAAACCCTGTGTCTGTAAATCTGTCCACAACTTTTACACATTAAAAATAAAACCACTTACCGGTCATACCAAAGGTTCTGAATTTTCATCATCACTGGATTTGTAATGAACAGATTCTTTGTGCAGGACTCTTTTGCTAAATGATATGTGTTTCGCCATGGAACAGGTGCTCTCACAGTCCTGAAGAAGAAACAAAACATCAACATCCAGAAATCATCATCAACAACATCATCATTCAACATATGGAAATTTTTTGACATTATAGCTAGCTAGTCGAACTGCTCTCTGGTAACTTTGGCCAAAAATCTCCAAAATTATCAAAAATGTTGTTTTCAAGGCCAGCACCATTTGAGCTTTTGTTCCTAATGCAAACTTACAGCCTTAAAAAATCAGACATGGCAAGAACACAAATTTCAAGACTGCTCCTATGGTTTAAAAGATCTTATCAGCCCGACAAGTTAGGAATCAAAGTTCTAAATGACTAAAAAACTAATTATGTCACAAGTGGTATCGGGAAGGTAGTTCCACATGGGCGTTTGTGGAGTAGTTGAGGTGTTAATGTATTTAAAAAATCGTAGTTTTATAGAGGGTACATGTATGCCTTCAAAAACTAAGGCCTCAAACCAGAAACTTTGATGAAGTCAAAAGACAGCCAATATAAAACGTCCTTCATACAAAAGCATTTATGGTAAATATTTCACCTGGACACCACATCTATTTTATAGTGAAATTATAGGTTTTAGGGAAGATAGAAGAAAATAATAGAATAATAAGTAAATACCTCAGTGGAAAAACTTTTGGTGTTTCTTTGATGTGTAATCTTTGTCTTTCACATGGATCCATTAGTATGTAATCAACTGCAAAATTAGGGGAAGCAATGGTCATTATCTGTTAATACAAATAACAATTTTATTTGTTTCTGGGGGTAACACTACAGTTTTGTTGTGTACCTTGATTTGTGGCTAACAAATAAATTACAAAAAGTGGTAACTAGATTTGTGGCCAACAAAATACAAAAAGTGATGACTATTAACAGCCAATTAAATGTAACAAGTAAGGAATAAATTGCCTGTGAGGAGTTAAACTATTATTTTGCTGTTTATGAGAATGACCAAGGAGCTGTAATTGCAACCCTACTAAGAACTTCTAAATTTAAGCAAGCAGCTAGAGCCACGCTTATTTGAACCTTTCAAATCAGAAATAAGCTTTAAGATACATACTTACCGGTAGCCATAAAATGCGCCTTTAATACAAAATTGGCCATAATCTACCATTCAATGTGAAATAATTATTATTCACTTATTGTTTCATTAAATATGCACAGTTTCTTGATGCTAGAGAAGTGTTCACAAAACACTGACTTATACTGAAAAAAGTTGAGTTAATTTGCTACAAAGGAAAATTTTAAGTTTTCCTCCCAAATTTAGTCATAGGTTTACCTAGTACCTATGTTTATGCAACTCACCGATTGCCTTGCGGACACTGAAGTCATAGTCACTGACCACCTCCTGCTTGAGTTCAGTGACAAGAGGATCAAGTTCTGTATTTCTCCGCAGTTTCTCTGGGATTCTTTTCTGTAGTATTCTTTCCATTACTTCTGGATCTTGGGCTGCCAAAGAATGGTTTGGAACTCCACGAGAAATGTAGTATTCATAGCGCTGAACATAATGAATACACATAGACAAAAATCAATTCACACATCTATAATTGTAACTCTCTCACTTAACTTCTAATGAATAATTAACAATTATTCAACAGAGTTGAGCAAAATATCACGATTTGTCAGTAGCGATCAATTATTGGCCGAAGCTGAAGGCTGGATCACCGGGTTTGTTTTTTTAATGAATATCTTCAGGAAGCGAAGCACTCTGCCATTTTCACTTAAGAGCAATCGAAGGAAGGAGAAAAGCGTGGTTTCATTTACGCACGAGCAGAATATTATCCGCAGCCAAACAAAGTTGGATGACATTGTGCATGAGCAGACCATTATTTGTAGGCAGTTATTTGCAGGTCACGTGGTGGGCTCTCGGCCAATGAAAAGGAAGAAAAATTTGCAAGGAATGATAATTTTAGGTGTTTGATCATTATTTTTTCAAAGATATTAGTTTTCCTACCTCCCCCCTCCCACCCAAGAAGAAAATTAAAGATGCATTTTAGCTGGCCCATATGATTTTAGAGTATAATAATGAGGCTTCATGTAATGACACACCCTGCCATCATCATCATCATCATCATCATCATCATATTTTGATAAACCAGGTTATATAGCAAATGGAAGCTTGAAAGCTGATGAGGGTGCTTGTGATGTCATGGGGCTAGCTTTCACTGTGAACAGCCAGCCCCTCAACAATGAACAAACCCCCTAACCCAGCCATGAGTCCCCATACATGCTGAAATATGCTTCAAACACTTATCACATGGAGTGCTCAGAGCATGCACCACAGCAGATGAGAAAAATGCATCCACCTGCTCCAAATCTTAACAGTCTTAACAGAGACCCTGAACCTGCACTCCGCAAACTTCAGCTGGGCATACTGTCAGTCATTCAACTCTGCTAAACAGGAGGTGAACTTAACCAACCATTAATACAAGCACACTATTTCAGCACAGCCCAAATGTAACTCAGGCATTTTCTTAAGTAAAAGCCTGATTAATATGACCATCTTGACTTCTGAAGACTCATTAGATGGTCACATTAAAAAGGTTTCATTGTGTAGCTGAACAAAAACTGTTTTGTCAAAAGTTAAAACATAATCATTCCAATGGATAAACGTAAAGAAAACTGTTGATATCAGTCATATATTCCCACCTCAAGATCTCGTTTGGAGACTGCCTCATCATCCATGCTTTCCACCGCCTCAAAGGATCTTATAATATCTAACTGTTCTGCGGGTGTCATGGCTCGGCTGGGGGGTAGACTAAAGGCAACATAAAAAAGAAACAATCAGCATCCACTGCAAGTCTTACTGTATTACAGTGAAACATCCTTAATACCGACACCAAATGGCATGTACAAAACACAGGTCACACGTCACTAGTACAGATCACTTTTCTGTTGATAAATAATTGAGACAGACAGTTTTCCCTAAAGCTCAAACACTTGTTTTGGATTGTGATTAATAAGGCTAGGAGACACTTTTAGAGTTGTATATATTTGACTGTAGCACAGTGACTTGTACTCTAATTAAAACCTGCAGTTGTGACCTGTGACCTGCATTTTGTAAAAGATTCAAGTGTCTATGGTATAGTACAACAATGATATTATTTATCCTCGATTCAAATTATATTTTCCTCTGGAACTCATCACTATTCCATACCATATACTTGATACCATACACTTGAGGTGGACTGTGTACACCATGCGGAATAAATCAAGACTGGCGGATATTTTGTCCTCTCCTCTGTTGAACCAATTTACGCCATTTTCATGCAAAATCTCTGATTACATCTAGAGGAGATGTTCTAATGGAGGAGAGCTAGAGATATCTGTGGATTCTGGTATCTTTAAAACTGGGTTAAAAATTACTATTGTCCACAGTACAGGGGTGTCTATAAGAATTGTATAGTTCTGTATTTCTGTTTTATGCTGATTTCAACTGGCTGCCTGGCTCTGTTAGCCTCTGTGGTTATTCTAGGCAGCCAGGACTCTAGTTTCATTTTCAATATTTCCACTGTTGTAATTTCTGACAAGGTAAGAGAGAGTACAAATAAAGATTTGTTATTGTCAGGGCATTCCATGACATCTTCGAATGCATGTTTAAAGACAAAAAACATACTTGGGTTTTTCCCCTTCTGATTTACTCCTAGCATGAGGACCAGCCACTCTTTTCCTGGGCAAGGATGCATCTTTTGCTTGACCATGTCAAGGTCATCATTGGTTTTCAAGTATAAACTATTATTATATTTTATATAAATATTTCATAAAGCATTACAAACTCCACCCTTGCCCCCACCTTAAGGGATACTCGCTCCAAAAAGTGGTGTTTTTTGCTACTGGGTCTTGCAACAGCCATTTGCAAGAATGGCTGTTACAAAACTAAAAGATTTTGTGATATTGGAGGGTGGGCAGCCATACATGGAAATCCATTCTTTCATGTCGAGTAAATAACTTCCCGCAAGTTGGGTTCTTAGTTCTGTTACAGCATGTTTAGTTGTTTCATGAGGGGACAGGGGGTCCAAACCTCTTGCCTCTCGTACCTGGCATTCCCAACTCCTGCACCTTTTTGTTGACTTCCACCTTTTAGCCTTTTATGATTGTACCTGTATTGAGCATAGTGGCATAATCACCCTTTTTTTCCCACTTCCCACCCTAATAGAACTCCTGGGTATCTCCCACCCTTTCCTTTTCTGCCTCCCTTATCCCTGACATGCCCTATTTTCCCAATTCTCCCATCCCCTCTGTCTTCCCCCACTTTCATTGTTCCCAAAAAGCTATCACTGGGAAAGGTTGAATAACAATATGCTTACTGTAAAATATTAACACAAACTTTATTACTGTAAATTATATTTTTGAGGATACAAGCTTGCTGAGCTGGAGCCCTTGTTGGTGGTCTGACAGGTGTTTGTATTTTTCCAAGATTTCTTATCTTTAATCCACTTGCAGTTGGGGTGAAGTTATTAGCGATGGATTCACTTGGTGTTCTGGCATAAGCTGTTTCTTTGAATGGTGCTGCTCGGGTCCATGATGGGTCCTTCATTATTGGTGGGTGTTCACTGTGACGTAGCACAATCTACAAAACATCATCCCTATATCATGAAGCACATTAACCTGTACAAATTTGGCACATCCATATTTTTTTTGTCTCAATCTATTTACTGTTTGCTGCTAGATATTTAAGCCACAAGGTCTGTATCTTGCTTTAGATGACTTTAAAAGGGAAATGTACTAGGATCCTTTTTGGAAGCACAGTGAACTCTCTCTCAATGGACACCTCTATCACAGAAAAAAATAACGGATTCCCATTTTTGGATAGTTTAGGGTATTTAAAGAATACCCATAAAAATCCCAAATTTGGCAAAGTGGGACAAGTCCCAACCAGGGAATTCCCAACCAAGTTCCCTGATTGGGACTTGTCTCACTCTTCCAAATTTAAGATTTTTGTGGGTATTCTTTAAATACCCTAAAATATCCAAAAATGGGAATCCGTTATTTTTTCCTGTGTATAAGACAGACAGTTCTGTAAAACGGACACCTAAAGCTGGTCCCTGCCTTTCTTTACTCCCTTTATTTATCCATAAGACGGACACCATTGTTAGACTGACACTGCCTGTCCCAAAAGTGTCTGTCTCAGATCAGAGGGTTGACTGTACTTTGTATCTAAAAACGGAACAAAAACCTTTCACCCATCTTCTCATTTGAAGAGTAATTTTTTCTCCAGCTACCAGCTGGGTGAAAGTTCCGATGTTCAATATTTTAATTTTGCAAAAAGTTAATGATCTGAAGGCACACACCCAGCCTACCATACACATATACAGACCCATCGGGTTTGAGTTAGTGAGGAAGATTTTAACGACAAGCAAACTTCATGCTGTTTCATCTCGGTTAGGGGTGCAAACGATAAAATTAGAGAGTCATCAACACACCATGATCATGGTTTACGCATTTGAGACCCTGCTGTAAAGTTAAATTCCGGCACAGAAAGAAAAGCACCTAACCAAATACTAAAACTTCAAGATTCTCAATACACTTTCAATGAATTGATTGTTAAGGTAACAAGTTGCATTGGGATTAATGCCAGCGCGATGTTAAGAATCACTGACAAATGAATCATTGAATAAAGGATATGTTATACATTAAAGTTTGTAAACAAAAAAAAATTTTGGGTACAAGTTTATCTCTTTCAACAGATCTAAGTCAGGCTTGTTTTTCTTTGGTCACATGGTTGCATGGGCTAAAGATTGTATTTCGAAATTCGGTTATAATAAACAATCCTGGGTATATACAAACAAGAATCGAACTGTGATATCGCTAAGCCAAATTCATGCCATGGGACAAAATCCATACCTGTTCTCGAATCCGTCTATTAATTTCAAGCAATTCCATCTGGACCTTTTCCATTTCCTTATCTTTCAAATATTTTAGCGCTTGCATAGCAACTGTAATAAAGTCACTTCGACTTCCTGAGCTAAATCAATAATGAATGACTAGTGCTTAACTAAGTGGCTCGCCGTTTTACACTTCAAGTTGTGTTTTTAAAACCAGTGGGATAATCCAACGAGACAATGCTATTTCTCACATCGCGGCAGCTGGTTTTTCCCACTTAATTAAACTGAAATTGTCGCATTCGACAAAACAAAGATTTGCGCATTGAATTTTCTCCCCCAGCTGCAAAAATAAAACGAACCTGGTATAATTCAGATGGTGTTTCGTGTGATGGCGGGAGAGGGGGCAATCCGGGAAGACCGCGGGTTTGCGAACAACTGAAAACTCCACTGTCGGCATACTGAAATTATAGCAACAGAAATGATAAGAAGCTGTTAGAAAATAACTCAAAGACACAACAGGTAAACAATGCAGAACAATCAGGTAGATCTCCTTACCTTTACTCGCTGCATTTTAAAGGCTGTTTACTTGCATAAAATCGAAGATCCAACAGCGCGGAGTCGACTTGTGGTAAATTTAACTATTTGCTTAACCTCAATTTTGGAAGCTGCGATAAGAACCCATTATCATCATGGGTTTTTAACGGTCATACATCTCGGATCAGAGCCAACCGCCATAATCGAAAGGGATCATCACTTGAAACCGCAACTTTGCAGACTTCCTGACTTTTTGCTAACACACACTGACAACACTTTTGATAATGATGTTCATCCGGGACTCGGAGTTGCCATGTTTACCCATTGTCTTGTCACGTTGCTAAGTCCCGCGGGAGCGCGCGTAACTTAAAATTTCACAAAATGCATTGCGCAGCTGAAAAGTCAGTACAGTGTAACGCAAAGAAAAGAAATTTTAAACACTGGAACAGGAATGGTTTTCTTTACCTTTCTTTCTTACTTGTATTCGCTTCCTTTTTTGTACTCTTCACGCCACCCTGCGTTTTAATAACGGTAAAAGCCAGAGTGGTAAAAGCGAACTTTTTGCAACTACCGGTATTTAAATTGATCCGAAAAAAAAACTTATATGGTGTATACACTCTTTTTTTTTATAAGAATGTTGTTTTTCCGGCCCAGGCTGAATATTCTTATTTTTCTGCCGATTTTAGGCTGAAAATATTCTTGTATTATTCTTAAACTATAGCTTATGACATTTCCGTTTTAGAATTTATTGGGGTATATGTATATGTATTACATGTACCGTTCATCGAACTGTCATAAGCGTTGAACATTTTGCTATAGCTAGTGCAGGTTTTTTCGTTTTGTTGGCTAGTTTCGCCGTTCAGAGAAAGGAATAATTTTATACGGTTAAGTTAAAAACATAAAATTGTATTGTATTTACAGACGTTTCAACACACAAAATTATATCTATCCTTTTCAAAATCTCAGCCTTGACTTTATTCTTAAAATATTCTTAAAATTTCGCAAATTTCAGCCTCGATATTCTTATAAAATATATTCTTATATAAAAAAAGAGTGTAAATATAGAACGATGCAGTTCTTGCGGTTAATTTAAAATGGATAAAAAAAATGTTTTTTTTAAAATAGTAAAGACTGACATAAAAGAGGTATCTGAAAGTCAGCTAGGACAGAATAAGTTCCATTCAAGAAGGCCTCATCGACACGCCTGAGTGCTTCGCATTGGGGGGAAGGCAAAAAACGGGGTGAAGCAGCAAAAAATTCGCGCGCGAAGCTAGTTGCAAACTCCCTTGAAATTCTGCAACTCAGTCAACACTGAAATAGAACCGCAAACCGACACCGACCACCCTGTAGCCCGGTGGATCAGTGGAGATCACGTCTTGCAGCCAACAGTTAGACCGCTGTACAAGTATTTCAACTTGAGGTTGACACGGCACTCATTTTTTCTAGTGGCTGTTTGAACAAAATATATAAATAGTGTTCAGGACTCCTGTAGTGTTCCACTTTCAACGAAAAAAACAGGTACGTCAAAAGATAAACAGTATTTTTTAGCAACTACTATAATTTGCAGTCTGTCTACTTTGAATTACTTATTTTTGTTTTCTCCTGTATCAACCTCTAATTATATACGCTAAAATGAAAATGATTTCAAATCTAAAAATGAGGATAAATCTTTTTTCCATGAGAGTAGGTCAAAGTAGGATTCATCATGGTGGTCTTGTTTTCATTCCCGTTCGGCTAGAGATAACGGCTGTCAAGGGAGTAAAACAAATCAAGAGTATGATTAACGCTGCCAGAAATGATTTTTGTCTTTCCGAAAACTTCTAAGGAAATCCTATCCTACTGCTCGAAAAATCATTTTCGTAAAATGAATTCTCATTTACACAAGCAAGGTTTTCTTCTCTCTCGGCATGTTTTCTTGATAATGTAAATCATCAAAATAGGTCATTTTTTTCCTTGTCAAGGGAAAAATGTTGATTAAATTTAATTTAATCTACCAGAGATTTGTCAAGGAAACTGGCTTGTCAAAGAAAACTTACTTAATTATAAGTCAAGAGATCATAGGTGACCCATTGCTTTGCTGGAACACGTTCGTCGTGACTTGAAGCTTCTGACTAGGAGACAAGACTACAATGAGAATGACAGCAAGAAGTGTTTCAAAATGACAACAACTGATCCTCTTCTGTAATTTACAAAAAGAAATAACTACTGACTGGAAGCTAGGTCTCTAGTCATTAACCAGTTGAAAATCTTTTGTTTGAAAAGTACTTTACGAAAACAATAAAGTTCCAGTTAAATATTTTATATCAAAATAAACAGTCCCACAGGACCAGAATAACGACAGGGACGTCATAACAACTAGAATAAACAAAGCCACTTTTATGATAATCTATGAATCGTTATAAAACTCGAACGGTAAACTTTAGTCGGCTGAATTAGGCTATAAAACATTGCCCCGGGAAGCACAATGGGAACGCTTGAAGTCATTCCTGAAGGTAAAGTTGCATGGTTCACTCTATAAAGCACGTTTCGTTTTTCACACCGCACTCAGTAATTAAATTTTAACGACAACGAACATACTTAGCAGCAAATAGGCTTTATATTAAATTCAGGCAATAAAGTTTCCGGCCTACACGATGAATCAAGAATATATAAGCAAAAAAATTTAAGACCGGCCATGTCTTTAACTAATCATCAATCAACGCAAAGAGGACGATTGCTCAGTAAAGTTTCGTGATGCATGATCAGTCAGATCAGTAAAAAGTAGATTGAGTGAAAAAACTGAGTAACGATAGAACAAGGGTCTTTTTCCAAAAGCTTTAAAGAGCCTAAAACTTATACACTTCAAAGTCGGTATATTGCTGAGTATTAAATCTGATGATAGCTCTTGTTGTCAAAGTGAGAGTTGGTAGCGACCAAATCGAGACCAAAAGTGCACAGCTGAGTGCAGGCAACATTCAGCTAGAGTGTCAGTAAGAACCGTTAAACAACAAGCAAATGGGACAGCCGCACTGATCGGTGTCCACATCATAGTGCTTGTCATGTTGTATTCATGTTGTATTCATCATAGTAGGGGGAGGGAAGCCGGTTTTTGCGACCAACGACTGACCACAAGTGGGTAATGAACTGTCTGTTCTTGCCGTTCAAATCTTCAAAAAGTTCTACAAAACTGACACGCGTTTAATACTTATTATTGGCAACACTCGGATGTAGATCAAGCGTCTTGGTCCGGTCTTGATTCAGCGTATAGCCGACTCTTCTCCCGCCTCAACTGCTTGGAAAAATTTAGCGTCATAAAAAAGGGAGCTTCATTTTTTCCTACTAGACATGAACCATTATTGATTTTTTCTATTGATCGACAAAAATTGCAAAACGAGTGAAACACTGTAAAGAAATTCAAGTGCAAAGAGTTCATGACAGCGACTGACACAGCTACAAAAATGAGTATGTCTCGTCCCTAAATTTAAATCAAAATGAAAGACATGATATAATGTCACCGTTATTCAAAAAGCAGTGACTTTGGCCAATAAAATGAAACTATTGATAATGGTGACTTAAAGCACGTTATATTGGCTCCAAAGAAAACTGATTTATAAATTCATTAAAACAACTTGTTTCATTTTAATATTTTAAATGTAAGCCGGTTATGCTCGGTTACTAATCACGAATGTCAGTTTTGATGGATCAACGAAGATGTCATGGGGCTACAAGAGGTTTTCACAGCTTTTGTATTTTTAAAACCAGAGACCCACTAGATGTGACATTGCCCTGAAAATTAAAGCGCGCAGTTTTATTTTTTTACATGCGAGTACAAGGATCGATATTTTCGTGAATCGCTATGGAGGGACAAACTGAAAGCGCCGATCATGACATGTCAGCTTAGAGGCTCACGTAAATCGGCCTCTCTTTGAGGATTTATCAAGCTCGGGATTCGGGATCTGAAAGCAAAATCTGGGCGAGATTGGGGATTGAAAGTTAGCCTGCGTAGCTGGCGGTATTGTGTGGGTGCGAGATTAAAGTTTTGGCGGCGGAGCCGTGTTCCAAAAAAAGGGAGTAGGGACGAGGCGGTTGAAATACCGCCTGCCAGAAAACCCCGGTATTTTGAATACCTCCGCACACCAGTGTGCGGGGAAACGGATTGGTCGAGGGCCATACATATGTCAATCATGTTAGATGAGCCTTCGCGTATATTTCCCAATTTAGGGAGCAGATGGCAAACTGGAAAAGACGTACATGTAAAGTGATTGTGTTTTCCGCTTTAAAAAGAGCATAATTGATGACCAAATTGCCAAAATTGCGTCTTTAAACTTCACAGTATTTCTCGCGGCTTCGCCGCTCGTGACGGCTCCGCCGTCAAATCTCACTCGACTATATTACAACGGCTCCGCCGCCAAATCTCACTCGACTACTACACAATACCGCCAGCTACGCAGGCTAATTGAAAGTATGCGCTGGAGGCGGGATGCCAAAAATAACCCTCGGGGTTACGGGATTGCACGAAATTTTGGGTCGGGATTACGGGAGTGAACAACACTATTGGGGATCCTCGTCTTTTTTTCGGAGAACTAGAGGTCACTTTTCTGTCGCAACGTAGACTTGCCTCCCAAGCAAACGTTCTTTTGACTCGAGCCCTCGTGACGATCCCATACTTCGTCTGCGTAGGGAGGCTACAATGCCTGCTATCGAAACAGTCATATTTCGTATATCTGAAAAATTTAGGCACAGAAAAACTTGTATGGCTCCAGGCTAAGACCCTCTACCTAGCGCTCGACACGTCCTCTCGTTTCCTTTTGTGGATCTGCGATACATTGATCAAGAGATCCAGTTACACGTAACTTTATACCTGGCCGGAAATGCCATATCATCAGCATGCGTTGCTAGGTTACCAAGCAGATAACAGTTGCTCTTTGAACAAAAGAGCAGCTGATGAAAACTTTACGTTGTATTGATCAATAATAGCTTAATCCAAAATAATGTGTGTTGATTACCACTTCTTTAAACTACTCTAGAGATCTTCTCAAAACCAAGAATGCGTCAGCCAGAACGAGGTTCCAGCCTTTACCAGCTGAGCATTAGCAGAGCCCCGAAACTTCGGTGTGTCAACAGTCCGGTGAAATCTTGTGGAATCTGCGAGGATTGTTGTCTAGGCGCGAAATTGAAGCATACAAAGGAATGGTTTTGCCGTTGCGGGGAACCAGTTAAGAGGAGATACATCCTTGGTCTTGTTGAACGATTTGATTCCCTGGATCTGCTTGAATATGTGACTTCTTTGCTGCAATCTTTTCAATATAAAGACTTCACCTACATGCGATCACGGAGCAAGCCGAGTTTGATCATTGACACCTCGAGTCCACCAACCAACCACGCTTTAAATGAAAATGAATTATTGGAAACGATAGACAGTTATTTGGAATGGTTTTCAGTCAGCACTTATTGGACGAAAGCGAATTATTTACTGGGCTTAATGCAGTTGTGTGATACACATATTCTACATATCATGGCAGTAAAGGCAAGAGCCTTGTGTGAAAGAGAACATAGGAGACAAAGAGCTCTTGAAGATGGTTTAATAGACCGAGGTTTGTTCATTGTCCTTGTATATAAAACGTGCGGCTTGTCAGTGTTAAATGTTCTTCAGTGTTATCGTTATTAAAATAATTTTTTATGGATATGAATTTTCAAACTTCACAAAAATGGGAGCCCAAAAACGGATTTTTTATATGAATTTGTTAATTAAAATCCATCTTGGAGAAGGATTTTTGGTAAGTCAATATGTAGCTTAGCCTGTGCCACAGACGGAACTAAACTTCTGGTTAGTCCGTCTGCAAAACAATGCTGAAATCCTTGTTCATGGTCCCCAGCATTGCACCAGGGTTTGAGTGTGTACCATGAATAGCCTGTGTTAAACTCATCGCTAATGATGAGCTTGGGAGCAGGTGCCTTAAAGGTTAGTGGGGGGCCAAGTGCAATAAGCAGAGAGGAGGTATCCATGGCAACCCTGGAAGCGGGAACCACCCCAAGAGCAGCCACTAACCGGCACCGTCACACTGAATAAATTCAGTGGAGATACTCACCTAAGAGAATACTTACCTGAGAAAATACTTACCAAACCACCAGGCAGGGAGGGAGGAGAGGGAGCAAGAATCTGCAATGATTCGCAAGAAGGCAAACATTGATCCGCTACGATCAGCAAGAATCCGCAATGATTCGCAAGAAGGCTAAAAATGATCCGCTACGATCAGCAAGCAAAGCTATAATGCAAAGCAACACTAGCAAAAGGGCACACAAGGAACCCTGCAATTCCCCGCGGGCCGCCCCGTAGGTCACATACTGAAGTGGGAGAAGACCGCTGGCCAACTCACTCGAGTTTAACTTTGCCTAAATGATATTTAGCCACATAAAAATGTCATCGTCGATTTGCCAGTCAGTTTGAAGGGAGATTCAAAACACATTTTTGGTAATTCATTGAGTCCACTGGGGCCCCAGAGCAAGGATATCTGGGTTGCTTTGCAGAGATTACTAACCGGGGCTAGATTATGTCTGCAATAAAGGCCATATATAGCTGGGCTTTTGGGCCAGGTGTAATTTTTGTCAGAGAGTAGTCCTTTAGTCTTCTGAAAATGAGGTTGTGCCAATCCTAAATTTTACTTAAATATTTAAGACTCTCATAAGCCTCAACACCAGCTGTCCTACAAAAATATGCCGTCTTTAGTTTTTGACATAGTGCGCTATTACAAGACCCTTTTAGTGGGGGGGGGAGGGTTTGTATGTCAGTTGTCTGAATTTCAAATACTGCTGTTTCACATTTTGAGGAGTAGGCATGGCCCTGTCAGTATTAATTAACCCATTTTCATGTTGTTTGTCGCCATTTCATCTAGTCTTCTGTCGCTATTTGAAGGCCATATTGCTTAGTGGAATTGTACTTTAGCAGGGCCTCTATTATTAAATAGCAGTTTGAACTATCACTAAAAATAGGTTTTGCCACATTAGACCCCCTGCTTGACTCAGACAAACTTTGCATTCTACTCAAAGGCTTTGTATGAGCAACATGCATTTCCGAGAAGAAAATGTTCATACAATTTGCAATGAACAGTTTTGAAATGTTTATTGAGATTCATTCTGTTCATTCTAATATACTACTATAGGGAACAAAACCTGGAGAACATGACTTCCCATACAAAACTCTTATAGGGATCATGTTCATTGTCTGAGTTACAGCAGGGGCCAGAAATCTGTGACGTCATTAGTGTAAAGCACTATTGGAATACATTTTATTGGGTAGCCTCCCAAGCAGACCTTTTGAGGCCTTCGTCATGTATCTCTCCCTAGTTTGAAGTGTTGGAGAAAAGTAAAACTAAGTGGTTTTCTCTTCTCTGCAGATGAAGACGAGTACATGTCTCTATATAGTCATGTAACTGGAAGTACAACTCATTCGGCTGTAGAGGCAGAAAGCAACAGATCTTTAACAATTTCCAAGTCACTACCAAGCCATTCTGCTACTTCAGGCATTCATGAAACTGACACACCTGATATTCATTCAATATTCAGTGATGACCTTGAACTAAATCAGTGCAAATCTCCAGCAGTATCAAGCGCTAAAACTCGGTCTCACATGGGAACACTTTCTGCAGATGTACAATCTGATGTAAGATCTCATGCTTCAGCAGGTTTTTTTGGCAGTCCTTTGTCTCATTGTCAATCAAGGTCCATCCCACCTTCCAGACAGTCACTAAGAAAGAACCCAGATGAGATGACTGATTTTGAAAGGGAATTCTTTAGCGAAGACTACATGTCTGGTGATGAGGGAGATGAAGAGAATTTCATGAATAATTCTTTGACTCCATCGGGACCAGAAAATGAGCCAGAATGCGGCTTTGGTTCAGAAAAATACAAAGACTTTTTAAGATGTCTGCCTGTTCATCTGTCCAAGAGAATTTTAGGGATGTTAGACAAGAATAGTTTAACAAACTGTTTATGCCTGAGTAAACACTGGAGAGTTCTTGCCGAAGAAGTTAAACAGGACTATATGGTTCACCAAATCATGACTGAAGAAATCATGCTCATGCAAGTTAGTTTTTGCATTAAAAGAATGTCCTTCTCTATAAAATGTACTCCTATTTATATGGACGGTTTATTGGTTTGAACTCCCATCCCCCAACCTTCTTTCAGTTTTGTTATATATTCATAGTTTTGAGGATTTTTGTCTTTTAAACCCCACTCTCTCACAGAATCTTTCATAACTCCATAGAGTGGGTCGGTATGGATATTTTCTAGGGTCACAACTATTACACCAAATTTTCTTTGTCAATTTTGTGGGTCAAAATTAAATTTAGGTTAAACGTTTTTACCCAGGTTGATAATCAATTTTCCTTAGTCTTCTAGCCCTAATTCATGAATATTATGAGGGTTAGGAGACAGAGGAAATTTTAACCTGAATTTAATTTTGACCTGTAGATACACCTGTAGTTTCAATAGCCTGGCTTACAGATATCCACTTGTCCTTTACAGCAAAAACTATGCTAAGATTTGCATTATTGATTCCACATCAAACATAACGTGATTGAGTGTTTTTACTTATTTGTTTGTTTCTCTTCTTAAAGAAGAACTCTGTGAGTGTTTTGACTTTATCAGTGAACATAAATTAAAATGAAATCTTCAGAAATTGCATTGAAGCAAAGTAATAAATGTACCTCAATCTTTTTCTCTACATGCAAGCCTAGGCAGTTTAGGGTGTTGGCTGGAGCTACCAAATTTGATTCTGTCCATGCAGTGTCAATGACTTTTGCTTTGCCAGAGACATTCTTTTCTGCACGGTTTGTGTCCAAGTAAAATAAGGCTGGTGATTGCTGTGAGGAACTTACACATCTCAATTTATAACCTGTACTCTAGTGACCAGACCTTGTTTAGATAATATTTTTTTAAAACATGGTGTTTTTTTTAAATTTATTATTGTTTATTAAGGGAGCATCTGCCAAAGGTATGAACCCAAGATATGCTAAATTTGTGCCTGTTCATATACCACTGGATCTTGATGAGGATACAAAAGAACATTTGAACCTTGGAGGTAAACATCACAAAGAGTCAAGTCATAACCTTAAAGAATGCTATGAAGGAATTGCTACGAAAGTAGTTCAACTAGAGGAAAGGAACATTTACTGTGGGGCTTACAATGTACTGGTTCTTCAGGACATGTGAGTATAGTGTGTAAGATTAAAATTTATTTTATGGTATAAAATAGTAAAACTGTGAAAGGTTTGAACCCAGGAGTCATTTCATAAGTAGGTTGAGTATGGTCATTCTGGTGAACGTAGTCTTGAATAGGACTGTTGTTGACTTGAATCACTGTCAGCAACAACAGTCCTACTCAGGATCCTACTCAGGACTACGCTCACCCGGACGATGATACTCAACCACATATAAAATAGTGTAATGTAAACCGATTTTTTTGTACTGTGCTTCTCCCAAAATTTAGTTGAATCGTACTCGTAAACTGGTTCGCAGCGAGTGTTTCAAAAATAAGCTGATAACTTTTGTCATCCTTCCTTGAAGGTTTTTATCCATTTTGATAAATCTGCCACTATGAAATATCAGTTCAATATCAAAAGCAACTTGCTTGTACTTGTCGGCTTGAGAAACTCATAACTTTCGAACTTTGAACTTTCATTTAAAATTCATCCTTTCGTTCTCAAGTTCATGATTTGATTGACAACTGCGTAAATAAATTGCTAAGTTTGTGGTGAACTGCGGGAATTTCAAATGAACTTCGGAAACCGTTTGTCAAAAGTTTTGTGAAGCACACTGTAAAACAGATTGTCTGCAACCACATGATTGTTTCAGATAGTATTGTTCCTATCAGGTTTACGTACTCAGCTGTTTGTGAAGCTTTAGTTTATGTATTGCAACTATGATTGCAGGGAGGACCCAAACCGATGTACAAACTTTAATGGAGGAAGACTGGTTGTGTCTGGATCATATGACAGGCGAGTGCGATTAATAGATGCTTCGACTGGCAAGTGCGAGAGGACCATTCAAGGCCATGCAGGATCTATCCGCTGTGTTTATGTCTCAGAAGAAAGGGGCATTGTACTCAGTGGGGGATATGACACTTCAATAAGGTGATAATCAAGTTAGATTATGTGAAAACAATAGAGAGCTTTAGATTCTGAGATGAGGACAACTATGAGTACGAGATTTTGCGCGTGTGCAAACCAATGTCATTTTGGCAGGAAAACGCGATAGCTGTCATCAAATGTAAGAAGTTCTATCATTTTGCTATCAGGAGAGGGCTTAACCTCCTTCAGTATAAATAACCACATTAACTTTTTTGGTAGAAATTTGAGTAAATTGAAGCTTTTTGGGGTGTCTTTTTTTTTTGAGAATGTGTGCAAAAACTTTAAGTTAAATCTCGTACTTGTACCCATTCTCGTCCTCAAATCTAAAGCTATCTAACATCACAACTCAACTCAGTGATGGTAAAGAAAATAGTGAATGCTTTGTTTATAGTGGAAGTGTTTTTTTGCTCTTCTAGCTGCTGCCACTATGTAAGCTCAGATAATTTGAAACAAGTAATGTACTTAGAAACTAATTATGAGGATTAAGCACCCCAACTGGCAGGGGTTCACTGTGATGTTGGAATAATGACACGGAGTGTTTAATTTTCTTTTCCATCATTCCCTCTTTGCCTTCATACTTAAACAAATTCAAATGTCTTTGACCAACAAAATTCATGAAAAAAATGTTTCAGATGTCTCACTCAAAGCAATGTTAGCTTAGCAGAGGGTTCAGTGGGCAGTTTCCCAGAACCCTAAATTGATCCAATGTTTCTAGCTATCTTTACTGAGGACATTTTGCTTTTTCACTAGGTGCTGGGATATAGGAAGAGGCAATTGTAAATGCATATTTAGAGGGTATGTCAGATTTCACCTGTTTATAAGTTGTTTTTCAGTTTATAGTTTACTGTTCATGTCATCTTGATGATATTGGCCTAAATTGTTAATAATAATTATTATTTTTAATATGTCACTAATTATTAGTGACATATTAAAAATTGCACCAATTTGACCATTAAATCTCTATTAAATTTTTTATACATTTTTCCCAAGGTGAACGGGCCAAATTTTTGAGAGTGTGATAAATATCGTGGGTGGAAGTCTTGAGTTTCACTAATATCTCAAGTTTTAAAATTTTCTGTTTCGTATTTTTAGACACCGAGCCACAGTGCTTTGCATTGCATTGCATGGAAACCACTTAGCATCTGGAGCTAGGGACAAGAGTGTTAAAGGTAAGATTCGAATTTAGTTGTTTTTCAGTGAGAAAATAGAAGATAACCAGACTGTAAATCTTTGCTATTCAACTCCCTGGTTGTTCTTCTTAACTTGTATTTCTTTAAGCCGGTAGTGGAGCTTTAAGTTAAGAACGATAAGATGGCGACTCTTCGTTGTCGGCTACCAGTTGTTTGCAGTTGTATCCAACCTTTTATCTTGTCTCTTTACTCACTCCATTTCTTATCAGAATTTATCTTTCGCAGAATTGCCAGAAACCTATAACCTCTCGAGTCTTGCAGCGGAAATGTCAAAAAGCGAATGAAGCGTTCTTCTTAGGCCGCAAAGCAGCGGAGCGAGTGAGATTTCATGAGAGGTCTAGCGACCCATATTAAATACGGAAAAGGACTTTACCGAAAGTCTTTATCATCCAATGAAGATATTTATAAATCCATGATTTGTGCACACATCAGTCACGTGTTGCTGTTTTTCTTGGTGTTTTGTCAACCACACCCAACTCATGAGTCACAACTCTGCGGGTGTTTTGACATCAACGCAATTTATTTATTTATTTTTTGGAGGGACTTTCTTGTCCACTTAACTTTGACTTTCGAAAATGTCTTTTTTTAGTGTGGAACTTTGCTACTGGCAAGTGCAGGCGGACGTTTCGTCATCGACACGTGGTACAAACAGTTGATGTAAGCTATTGAACTATACTTTTTTCAGTTTAAAAGGGTACTTTTTGTTTTAACTACAATCACAATGGATTTTTTTATATTTACTTTCGTCCATAAAATAACATTCGGGGAAACACCTCCAACACACTGGTTCAAGTACTTTTCTTTGCTTTTTCAGGTCTCTGATACGCTTGTTGTCAGTGGATGTGAAGGTGGAAAAGTGAAAGTTTGGGATATCGAACGGGCATGTCTACTCAAGGTACGGACTTTTGTTTTTTAAACATTCTCCGGTTCATCGTCCTTCATTCATCTGGGGCTTCATGCGAGTAGATCCCCTTCTATTTCTCCTTTTAAGCACCACGGTAGGCACCCAGGTTAACGGAACACGTAGCCACGCAGTGTAACGGATGCCCACAGTTGGTCTGAGGGACTATCTTTAGGTGGCCTGTGCGCAAGGACGCCGAGCCCGTGCGCATCCTCCCTCGCGCATCCTTTCCTTTTCTTTTTTCGCATTGCAGACTGAGCACCGAACATGTGAATAAACTGGGAAACAGTGTTGCGAACGTAAACTTTGCGACGTGGAAGAAAAATGTTTTGCCCTGATTCAAAATAGTTTTTGAACGTCGGGGGTTAAAAGTTGCTTTTTTCCTCTGTCTTTCTTTGCTAAACTGCAATGCTTCCCTTGTACATTCAGCTTTGAAAGAGTTCTTTTAGTCTAGATGCCCGTCAGTGTCTTGCTCATCACATCAGTATTGTACTTGCTGTCATTGGCGAGATGTATTAGTTTCCTCTTGATTTTGTTTTATTATCACACTCTCGTACCCAAATCTCTTGTTAACGAAACCGAGAGATCTGGGAACGAGATTATTGCTATCAAAACCACTGAACGTGCTGTTCACTACTATGCAATTGTCTGTTGTTTTCAGTCCCTTGACGGTCATCATGGTGCAATCACGTGTGTGAAGTTTGACGACTATCACATCATAACTGGCAGTCTAGACTGTTACGCTATGGCGTGGAGCGCCATTGGAAATCACAAGAAATGCCTACAGGCATTTAGACACCCCAAGTATGTCATACTGACGTTTTCTGTTCTTACAAGCATACCATGATAAGACCCAAATGTAAAAATACGAAAAATCCCTTTTAATACTTTGCGATCTAACTTGGATAAAAACGCGCTTAAATATATTAGAAGAGGTAGAGTACGTTTTATGTAAGCCCTGCCTGTTATGCGATTTAGGCAAATTTAGCCATGCGGAACTAGCCACTAAAAAATGGTCGGTTGAAAGAATAATCCACTGTAAAGCTTCTGTAAGGTGGGTGTGGACGATTTGAAGAAGACCGGAAAGCGGGATGCATTTGGTGTTTTTGAAAACATCTAACTCTTTCTGTTTCTAAAGATTAACACCTAACTTGGTTGTTTTCCACCTTGAATTTAGCAGTAATTTCTCTGCTCGTGTTAAAGTTCATAGCTAATAACCGGGCCCAACGACACAAACTCACACTCCCTCCATAGATCTATGGGGCGGCGGCGGGGTGGGGCGCGGGGGGAGAGACAAGGGAGGTTTTCTTCTCCTCTCCTCCGCTCTAGAGTTTCAACAGAGAGCTTGCGTGCAGGCTACTTACTCTGTTTACTCTGTTTTCTGTTTTTTTTCAGGGAAGTTCTCTGTGTGGAGTTTCTTTATTGTCGAATAGTCACAGGCTCTGCAGACGGAAAGGTTGGACTTTCAATTTTATCATTGGTTTTTCGTTTTTTGTTTGTTTTAACCCTGCACAGAGGCCCTTCAAACTTCCTCGTTAGAAAACGAGTAATTTCAAGGGTTCACTTATGCATTGCAAGATTTTTTTGTGATTTTCTCCCTCCGCCGTTTTCAGCTGCGTATCTGGAACCTCTTGAATGGAGACTGTCTTCGGATTATCCGTGGAAACAGCAAAAATGATGCCGTCACCACAAACAGAGCGTCTGGTGACAGGTGAGTTAACAAATGATCAACTGCCTATTTCTTAGTCGGTAAGGAATAAATTACACGGGTTTATCTGAGAGTCTTAAGTCTTCGTTCACGGCACCGAACGAATTTTCGACCTGTTGAAAAATTGTGCGATTTGGTGTTTCGTTCACTCGGAACCACCTTAGCCGCACGAAAATTTCAGTCGACGCGTAAACAAAGCGAAAATATTGAACGGTGAACGGTCTAATGCGAACGAAGTCCGGTCAAATATTTCATCTAGTCAAAAATTGGTCGCGTGCCTATAACGTCACCAAAGGAAAGGTCATTAATCTGACCAATCACATCTGAAGCAGGAAAGAAAGTGAACGAATCAGAAGCAATTGTACGTAACCTGCGCACTGAAAGGGCGGGAAAAGCGTGCGATGAAACTACATTTGGTTTTGCTTTTGTTTGTGATTGGCCCGAGATTTTCAAAATATCACTTGTGACACGCCGTTGAAAATTTCGTCATAGAGTCATTATTAATATACCGGTTTACCACCAAAAGGGGAATGTTGCCCAATGCAAAAAAAACTGTCGAGGTTTTTCAGTTCCTTTAATTTGTTTCTTTAAGGATTTGCGAGTAGTATTTGTTGTGGCTTCCATAAACGAGAAAACGGCCACACCGATGATTGAATATTGCACGTTTCACAGAAGATGAAATGAAAACAAAAACGTGATTCATTAATCACTTTTTACGAAAAAAACGTTTAAAAAAACAGAATCATGTCATAGACACTTCATATTTCACTTCAAAGTCAAAATCAATTAAATTTACAGTTATGTTATAATTGATCTCGTTAATTTGGTTTTGCTTGTATTTTTTTCCAGGATGATTGTCAACACACTGAGCAACCTTTTAATTTTTAACTTCGAGGCAGTGCAGTGGGATTTTAATTTAGATCCTGAACGGCCGGAAGGACTTGGAAATCTCAATATCTATTCAAAGACTCCTCCTCGAAGACTAGCACGCTCTCATGTACGAGCGCACAAGCTCATGCGCGCTGACACTAAAGACAGTTTACCTTCCAGACCTCCGTCACAGATGAAAACGCCAACATTTGACCTCAACATTAATTTACCGCAAAGGATTTCAAGCGCACCTCCACGAATAAAGCACCACGAAAGCACGTTAAACAGTATGAATGCACACGTACGTAGACTTTTAAACGCACACAAGGAGAAAGAACAAAAACCACGTCCTCATTCCTCGCCGATCGCTACTTCTCGTCAGTCTCGTGGGCTGACCGAGTATGGCATCACACCATCGGAGGTTGGTGACGATCTCACAGCGAGCATGATAATTACAAAAGTTGCGCGTTCGCATCTTAAGCCTCCATCTATCCCGGATAATAGGCGCTCTCGGGTTATAACGCGAAGCCGCTCAGCTCCAGCGTATCGCACGCAGGTCCTGCCCCCGGGCAAGCGTGGTTGGACAACGTCTGTGGCAGAGCCGCTAAAGGCACCGGAAAACAAAATCATGGTCTCTGCTGAGCAAGCGCGGGAAAAAATAGCCAAAATGCGACCGCAAAGTGCGCAAGTACATCCGAGGAAAGAATCTATTTCGATTAATCCAGTTAAGAGCCTCGGTTGCTTGCATTTAAGGACCTACACGAGTCAACTGCAGATTGAACAGAGACTTACGCAGGAAAATTTACGTGACAGAGCAGCTCGTGTGACAAAG